ATAAATTTATTAGAAAATTATAAAAAAAATTAGAATATTGAAAATATAATTATTCAATTTTTCTTAAAATATGATAAAATAAATAAATGAAATTCAATAATAATAAATATTATCAAATTTCGTATTTATAAAAATTAAAAATTTAATTTATATTATTATTATTATTATCGATTCTTAATATTTTTATAAGAATAATTATATTTATTAATATTTAAATCCGAAAAATAAATAATATATATAAATATATTTTTTTCATTAATAAAAAATATTATTTATTCTTGAATACTATATCATTTCATAAATATTATATCTAAACCTTTATTTCTCATATTAAAAAAAATTCTGAATTCGGAATCGGTGCCACATTCTGATTTTATCAAAAAAAATCCTTAGGGATAGGATCTCGACGGATATCTATATAATATTTATTCAAAATATTAATGATATAATAATTATCCGACTACTTATCGATATTGCTGATTAAATATTAGTGAGATCGAGTTTCTACCGACGCTATTAATGGTCGAATTGGTAGAGCGTGGAGCTTTTTCTATTTATTAAAGCAACCTTATTTTTACCTCTTCTTCTGACTGAAAAAGATTTACGTATAATATATACATTAGATAATTCTATATAAAGAACTAAATTAAAAATAAAATAATATTTATCGAATATAAATGAATTAGAAAATACTAATATATATAAAAAAATATTGAGAAATATAATGGAGAAGTATCCAGCAAAGATATGCATCAGATTTAATAATAATATAAATTAAATATATTTCGAATAATATAGAATTCAAATTCCTCCAAACTATAGATTCAATTTAAAGAATCCAGATCTTATTATATTAATTGAAATTTATATAATAATTTAAATAATAATATGATGCTCGTTAATTTGCATAAAGATATTATATATTCAAAGAAAATATACCGATTTCAAATATAAAATAAATTTCAATAATCTATTAATATATATATATATCTATTATTGTATTCTTCGATAGATATAATAATATAGCATATAATTCCGCATGATCAAATTCAAATTATTTTTTTATATTAATAAAATATCTAAATAGAGAGATTCACGACCTATTCCTTGCATGGAGGCAGCCGGCTCAGCCACGCGGCCCCTGCGAGATCTAGGGGCCCTTCGAGCTCCGGGGCTTTGGCTTTGGCTCGCATGGGGCGGTTTGCACGGAGTCCGAGAGCACAGCCCAGTGTCCGCGCCTACGCGAGCAACCGGCAGAAATTTGAAGCCACGCAGTATAGGACTTGTGCAAATAATCAAGCGCATTTGGTTTCTACAATTAAATAAATATAAATATAAACATATATATCTATATATATGAGATAGCTATTTAAATATGATTCTTATAGAAGCTTTCCTATTTATCTCTGCTATTATCCGTTGCCTACGTATCAAGTCCTAAGCAGTAGACTAGAAGACTATTACGAATTCGAGAAAATAGGCCAAGAAGATCGGAACCTCGATCTTATCTCGGTCGAAATCCTAATTATATTTCAATTTTGCATATAAAAAACTTGAAGCAATAAATAAATATAAATTTTAAGATTCGGAACTCACTTCAGCGAATTTCAATACTCTATATCTAGAATTACGCAATTCTAAATTTTCAGACCTTTAAATAGAGAGGCTTAAGATTTCGAGATTCAGAATTCTAGATTAAGAATCGACTTCAAAATAATCGATAAGGCAAAATTCATATTTTATATTAAGAATTAAAATTTAAGATCTAAATCATATAGAATTCGAAAACTCGAATCAATATTTCATATTATATTCTTAAATTATATAAGAAAAGTTAACCTACCAAGTATAAATAGAAGAAGAAGTGAGAGTAGGGGAGAGCGGTTAAGAGCAGCCATGAATATTTTTTAAATATTTTCGAAAAATCATTTAAGTGCGAGAATTATGAGAGTAAGCGCTAGAATCACAAGAAATTCAAATATATATATATATATATATATATTAGTAATCTCCAAAATAATCCTAAGAAAGGATCACTTCTCGAGATAGCTTTCGTGCTATCCCGTAAAACAGATTGGAAGCTTATTATATATATATATATATCTATATCGATATAGAAAAAATATAGCAGAGATCATTATTATAAAATATTTCTTATATATATCTGTGGCTGGCCTTTCCCGTCCTCACCACTACCCACACCTAGCTGACCTTTCCAAGGTGTTTTTAAGAGTGTTTAGATGCTGCGAATGCATGCACACACCTCCCCCCGCCCTCACTGCCTTCACTGCCCTCACCACTACCCACACCTGGCTAGCGTTTCCGAGGTGTTTTTAAAGTAAAAGGATGCCAGTGCGTGGCTTCTCTAGGGTTTAGGGTTCAGGGTGTGGGGTTCAAGGTTAGGGCTGTTGGGTTTTTGTTCAGGGTGTAGTCTTAAGTGTAGGCTTTAGAGTGTGCGGTTTGGGAGTTTGGTGTTCACAGTTTAGCTTACAATTCACGGTCCAGTTCAGGAGCTGTCGGAGTTCGACATGCCAGCGCTTCGAAGTCTTGTCGGCGTGAGGGTTCGGGCATGATGCAAACCCCAACTAAAACCCCTTTCTCAGAAGCTACTGTAATAAAAAAGGTAGAAGGGTACCCCTGCGACGCCCAGATGATCCTCACATGTTGCTGGGCAACTCCTCATGTCGCTTGCCTTCGCTTGTGTCTTTTGGGGTCGGCGGCATTGGCGGCGCCCGCCCGCCTAATTTCGCGTTTTTTTGCATAATTTTGGGGTCGCCATGGGTAGCCCCCAAAGGGCGCGCATCATGAGCATCAGCGGGGTTTGGCGAGGGGGGGTGGGTGGGCGGCCTTAGCCTTGCTCCAGGCTTCTACCCGCGCTGCCCGCCGGTAGGCGCAGCCCCTAGAATAATCTCTTAGGCTGCTAGTATAAATAGCAATGTCGGAACCAACGAACAACATAGCTATATTAATATTTGTGCACATCCGTCATAATAAGGTGAGGGGGTGCTCACTGTGCGGATTAGTCATGAAGCCTGCAGCTAATGTCACACGAACGGAGTGGACCTTGGACTTGTCGGGCGGCTGGCATGCGCATTGCAGCTACAAGAGATGCTGATTCCCTTCGGGAGCAGTTCAGCTATGGTACAGTCATGCTAAAGCATGGAAGGCAGTGTCAGCTCAGGGAGGGCCAGGTTCAAGGCGTCGCCTCAGGCAGGAAGAGCAGTCATCCCAAGGCTGGATCGCGGCTTCGACAACCATTCCACCGTTCTCTGATCAGCCACATGCTCTCTCTGGCCCGAACAGTCGGCGTGCCAGGGGAAGCAAATGTACCTGTGAAATAATTTGGGTGCAGCAGCAGGAGCGAAGTGCCGCAGCCTGCCTCAAAGAGCGCAGCTGCAGATTCTGTGTCCTTCAGGTCCGTAAACTGCCTCGCGAGAATGCATGCAGCCAGCTGGAAATCCTGTTTGCAGCGATTACTAGCTTCCTAGCCTCCTAGCAGTTTCAACGAGCAGCTCGACAAAGAGCTCGAAGGCCTGGTCGCGAACTCGTCGTGCGAAAACATGCGCAACACCAGAATGAGAACCCTGCTTCCATAAATTAGCAATTCGCAAGCACATCGTATGCAGTTGAATCCGGCTGAACGTCTTTGAATGGCGCACCAGTGCTGGCTCGCCGGAGTCTGTAGGACTGCCGAAGCGCTCGGCTGTTTCAGCAAACACGGCCTGTCAAAGGTCATGAGGAAGGAGCTTAGTACGTAGGCTTAGAGAGGCCATCGGGTGCCACACTTGCTCCTCCCAACCATTTTCGAATTTACACCCCGCCTCCAGCTCCCCCTGAGAAAGTCGAAGCTGGGAGGCATGCGCCATGCGCAGGTAGTCCTGGCAGCTATCAGAGCCCGAAAATGGGTCTGCAGTGCCTGCAGCTAGGGCTCGTGCAGCTCGCGCACTTTTCTGAGCATCGTTTGCATCAGCTTCGCACATGAGCAAACAAGGAGACAGCTGCAATGACTTCCCTGCAGGGAGTCATTGAAGTCCTCCACAGCCGCGCATGAGCGCTAAATAAAAAATCACAGACTCCCATCTTCAAGCATCACGGGTCACTTGTACCAAAGCCGTGTTCCAGAAGAGCATTCAATGCCTGAAGATCCAACATTCAAACTAATCCGACGCCATCGGCTGACATGTGTCTGAATGAGCCTTGCAGACGTCAGGCTTCAGCTGCTTGCGTAGTTCTTGGACAAGCCTCGAAGTGTTATAATGCACGGACTGTGGGTGCAAACACACGGAGGCAGGGTGCCTTCGAGGAAAACCCCCTGTTGATTTTTACACTCACTTGCGCTGCTCTAGAAGCTCCTTTCCGAGTAGCGCAGAGTTGAGAATGGGCGACAGAACCTGCGGCGAATGCACATGGGGATGGGCTTTGACGTGCGAGTGCGACTGGCTCTAGGAGAGAGTTGCAAGCACGGTTCACCTCGGCGATGTCACGCTTGTAGGTCTTCCGTTCGCTCGCAAACATAGCAGCAAACGTGAGAAAGTCCTGGCCATGGTCAGTCGCACCACTGAATCAAGAAGGGGTCAGGCAGGAGGCGACATGCGGTGGCGATGTCCTTCAAGGTGTCATTCACGTCTGCGCGCGAATGTCCATTGGATGGCTGGGCTGGTTGGGCCGGTTCCTCACGGGAAGCGGTCCTTGAGGCATTTGCATGGTCTGTTGTGAACAGCACAGGGACAAGGCATGGAGTCATGATGTCTTCATGCATGGAACACATAAGCCGCGTGACGTCTTGTCAACATGCCTGACGAGCTTTCTGACCTTTTTCCAGGTCTCCTGGCTTGTACCACACTACTTGACAATTCGAGTGGCTTGAAATCCACGGTGGCCATGCCTCCCCCCTCCGGTCACGATCACCCGGTTCCTCAGTTGACTTCTGGGAACAGCGCTGGCTGCTAAAACGGATTCAAAAGTCCTGGCTTGTTCTTGCCAAGTCTCTAGTGGCCAATGCTCGACTTGCTTGAGTATCTCGCCTATGGAGACTGCGCACATATCGCGAGCCGCCATCTGGCCTGCAATCAGGTTGGTACAAAAGAAGGAAGTACACCTGGGGCCAATCCTTCCGAACGTAGCCCAATGCAGCCGGGGTGGTTATGGAGATGGGTGGCTTTCGCGTGGCATTCTAGTTTCAGCGATCTCTCGAAAACACGAAGAACATATTCAGATAGAGTCCCGCTGCTTCCAGCATCCGAGGTTGGGGTACCCATTCAGCAGGCTACATCACTTGCGAGCTTGGCGACATACGGTGTTATCAGCTGTTCTCATCAGGTGCTCCTTATCAAGTCAAGGAGCGGTTGCTGGTCCTTGTGGCGTCCTTGAGGACAGGTTGACGCGGTCGTGGCTTCCTCGAGGGCTGCAAAAGCTCTTTGTAGCCTCGGCTGAGGCAGTGAATCTGTCACCTCGCAGCAGCAGCTCTGCTCCGACTTCTCGGGACACGGCAGGGCTGGGCATGTGTTCGCACTGGGGTCGGGCTAGGTCATCAATGGAAGCGTCTGTTCCAAGCCCATGTCTCACGCTAGAATCCGCTAGAATGTGAAGGAAGCCTTGAGAAGTCCCCCGAAAACCTGCTTCAACATGAGCCATACGCACTCCACAAGCCCTCGGAAGCCCAAACAAGACCCAAGACAAAAGTGTGTGTGTGTGTGTCGCAGACCCTAACTCGAATCTACGAGTACATGATGTAGTAGGTCAGTCAGCACGTACAATGGTGCACCAACTGACTCGTTCACAGCCCAAAAGCATGCATTGCAAGTGTGTCTTACAGTTTACTCTCAGTTCCACCGAATGGCTCTGCAAGTGCTCCTCATTGGATTCCAGAGCAGCAAACCATCGAGCGCACAGTGCAAGTGCCTGGAAAGGAGCTGCTAGCAGCTGCTAGGTACAGTAGGCACCATTGAGCACAGTTTGATCTTCTCAAGTCGGGGCTGCAGTAGTGACCCCTTGTAGACTGTGGACAGTATAAAGAGCAGAGTGAGAGAGAGAGAGAGAGAGAGTCGCGACTGGTGCCTACCTGCTTTACTACCATTGTGAATTCTTTGTACCCTGAATGCAACCATTTCCTTCATGGCATCCGTACAGATATTGCCAATACTTGACAGCAAAGCTGCATCTAAGACTTCGCGTACTCGTTCGCGGTGGGCTTCCCGGTTATCAGCCATTTGCAGCAAGAAGCCAATCACTATATCCTTCTCCTCCAAATGATCCAGCATTCTCATGTTGGGCTTCTTTCTCAAAGCCAAGACTGATTTGCAGAAGTCAAAGTATGCCTTTTCCCCTTCTTGACTGACCGGCGTACCCGGACTTCGACAGCTCACCACACGGCCATGATGTCTTCGCAATTCTGACAGCTCTTCTGGAAAGGGCTCATCGGCATTAACTCTGAGCAGCTCCCGCTCGGTCGGAATCCTCCGACCGTCATTTGCAGGCTCTGGGTCAAGGCGGTCAAGGCTTCGGCTCGAGGCTTCCGAAGACGAAGACGAAGCAGAAGCGCTGCAAATCTCAGGCAGCCTTGGAGCTTGAAGAGCGCGGACTGCGGGTGCATCAGGCTCAAGATCCGTCTGCACGCTCTTGTTGTCGACGATCACTTCACGGTTGAGGTCTGCTGGATGCGAAGCCTGCATGTCAGGATCTCGACCGTGGTGCACTCCTCCTTCTCGACATGCATGTGAATGCCCTCCGACCTGAACATCAGCCCCATCAGATGTTGTAGAGAATGCCATCAGAAATTTCGCTGTAATCGGATCCATGTCGTACACACGTGCACTGAGGTGAGTCGCACGAGCTTCCTTCAGAGCATGCAGCCGCCGATTGTTCAATGAATAATACTGCGAGCCGTGCCTGACAACCTTCAGACGTAACCTCGGCTCTGTCAAGGGGTCCACCCTCCCTTCCGTAATATCACGCACCAGATGTTCGATAGGTTCACCAGCATGCGGCCCATGCTTGAACCTTTTGGAAATCCGATCATGTGTATACTTGACGGAGTCAACTTCCAGCACCGTGTCTTGATCTGTGATCTTTCGAGCGACACTGTTGTTCTCGAAAATCTGCGGGCCGTTCGTTTCCCTAAAAATCTTTGTCAGTACCGACTGCATACGGTCTTCGCTGCACGGCTGAATGTGCGGCTTGTCAGCCTGTCTGACAAGACCTGGCTGTGGGTAAATGAACTCCTCATCATCACCAGCCAAGTCGTTCTGCTCGCACGTGTCCAGCACAGCTGCGTCGTTCTGCTCTGGAGATGGTGTGCCGCCTGGCCTTTGCAACGTGGCTGCCACCTGACTAACCTGGCTTGTCGGTTGGTTCAGCTTGGCTGGGCGACCGCTAAGGTCCACACGTGTGTCAACCTCGGCAAGGCCTGGAGTTGCCACGTCCTCATAGCCATCGTCCATGGCTGGGCAGCTACCTTCGTCGGACATTCCACTGCGCACGCCATGCATGGAGGCCTGATGCACACTGTTGTCGTCAGCCAATACATCCTCAGATGAGGCGGCAATGATCGATCCGGCTTCGTGAGCTGGCGCCTGCCGCTTGGCTGCTTCCACACCCTCACCAGCATCTCGGCATACTGGACCTTCAGTTTCTTCACGGTTCCCAGCCGAATAACAATCTTGGCGATCGCTTTGTGTCGCGTCGGTCGGATGCACGAAGTGCTTGCTCAAGCCGGCAAAAGATGCGTTGCCACGTCTGCTGGCTGTGTCTGTGTCGACCACATCAGTTTGGTGCGTCGAAGGGGGAAGTCCTGTGTCTGGCTCTGGATCCTCGGGTTGTGGCGATGAGGCAGGCTGTCGTGTCCGTCGCGTGCCGGCCTCGGGTTCTTGCAAGGCGTCATGGCCTCGGGCGTTGTGCGACCGCTCGTCTGCAGCAATAAGTTTCTTGTTCGGAACTGTGGCACTACCGTGCCTTCCCATCGTATCTCCTCGATGGTGATGCCAAGTACATCCCTCGAAGGAGGGATTGCTCGAACCTCTTTGTGGCATCACATGTCTTCGATCAAGCTGGCTGTACGTTTCCGGTTGTTTTTGCTTCGCTTGCAGTGGATATGCCTGGCTTTGCCAAGAACTGCTGCTCGAAGCAGGCAGCTTGCTTCCACCCTCCCACGGCTCATGTGTCTTCGGGGGCAGAGAACTCGGAGGAGTGACGTAGGGGTCGACAGCAGAGGAGCTGGCGGAGTTGTCCACATCATGCAACTTCGTGAACACAGACACGTCGCTGCCGTCTTCCCACCTCTCGCTTGCTCTCGAGGCAGCCGAGCTTGGAGGAACCACAGACGGGTTCACAGCAGTGGAGCTAGAGCTAGCAGGGTTTCTAGGCGCAGTCTCTTTCGCCACATTCGGCCTCAACGGAGAGGCGTGGTGGGCTGGAGTTCGCGCTTCAGGATGCTTCCAGGGGTACTCAGCGGGCTGGTGTCGAGAAGGCGGCGGGGGCTGCAGGGTGCGCGATGGCCGGGGCGAACCTCGAGGAGGCTGTGGGGGAGGGGCCTTTCGTGCAGGTGGCGGCGGTGGCGGTGCTTTTGCAGGCTGACTGGCAGACTTTGCCCAGCTTGGAACTGGGGCCTTTGGTCCATAGGATGTTGGAGGACCCAGCGGCGACGGCCAGCTTGCTTGAAAAAGCGGAGCATTCTCCGAGGGATCTGGTCTTGCAGCTTCCGAATCTTCTGAAGTGGCTGTTCCTGGGCCGAAAAGGCTTTCGCCAGCTGATTGCCGCCGTGCTTCTCGGGGCAAGTCGTCAGGCTCTGGCTGTGGCTGCTCTGGAACTGGTCCCACACTTCCCGGTGTAGCCTGCAGGCTGAGACACAGGATGACCGCAAACTAGATCGTTGGAGTCTGAGACTTTGGCACATGACAAGGCTTGCTTACATGTACAGGCTCTCGCCTGGTTGTAGTCCTCCCAACTCGTGCCTGGTGAGGCTGCGCTCTCTTCAACCTCAGTCACGGCTAGATTGCGGCTGCGGCAGCGAAGCTCGGAGGCGCGAGCCTCTGCCTCTAGCAATGTCTGAGCCGGCTCGAAGAAGATTTGCGGGAACCAGCCTGCGCCAGAAATAGAGTAGCGGCTCGTGGCGGCGACAGGGCTGACCCAGGCACTCGATTGCTTTGAATAGTGGCTTGCCTGCCTTCCTCGCCCACGAGTGTTCTGCCCCAACACCAGCCGTCTTGCCCGTGGCCTAGTCATCGATGGCATGCAGGTTCATGAAACTGGCCACAGCTGCAACGCTGCCAGTCATTATTTCTGAGACAGGGACCAAAGTTAATCACGTACTCCCCCTTCTGAAGAGTCAAGTACCTCGCGATGGGTGGCCATCGTAACATGTCGGTCTATGCGTACGAAGGACTTTGCCGATCATGATCGCCCTGATCCAAGCGGGCGAGGACAGCCCTAGTCAGATGGGAGTCGTCACACAAACAAAGCCAAATAGCAACTCGGGGTTTTCTGAAGATCAGGATTTAGGGGGGAACATGAAGGAACTCAGTGTTGTTGAGTGCTTTCGGTGCCCTGTCAAGACCCCTTGTGGACTGCATCTCATCATTATCAATTATGATTTTTATGGAGGTCCTACAATTCATCATAACAGCAAGGTAGTAGCTCAGAAGTCCAAATTCAGAAAACCTGCACAAGAAGAAACTTGATAACCAAGCAACAGACTGGTATCCCTTGAGAGCACCCGGTAGTAACTTGCGGTTTGACATGCTTGGTATCCTTCCACGCTTGGGAGGCAGAGCGATCTTGCACTAGAAGTACTTGGGTTCTCTCCAGCTCCTGGCTTTCCTTCTGCAAGTTCCACAGAAGTGCTGAAGAATTCTGTGGGTGTTGAGCTTGACACATTTCTGTGCCACCGAGCTGCGCAGATTCGTCGCGTGTGTCGTCAGCGAACTCCGCACCTCAAAGGCAAGAGTGTCTTAAACATTGTCTAGTCCGGTTGACATCTTGACCAGCGATGGAGCGAAAACAGCGACAGCTTCTGCACATGAGACCGAAACCGCTGAAGTCGCAGGTCGCTCTGCCCACCACGTCAGAAGTAATCGCCGGAGGTTGTGCAAGCTCTGCGAGAATCTGCGAGGTACGTGCTTTGATACATTCCGTGCAGGATCCTCTGGCCCTCCAACACCGACTAGCTGACTAGATCGTAGCTCTGCCGCCACGACGCCACGCTGGAAGCGTCGAGTCTTGCCCTGTCTGCTCCAATCTGATCCTCATTCGCAGCCTGAGGCGAATCTTGCCACCATGTGCGAACGGCGTCCTCAGGCTCAATGTGTGCTGTCGACTTGAAAATGAGGGCTGCATCGCTTTGTCCAACACTTCAAGTCAAACGCTGCAAAATCTCCAGATCTCGTCTTTGCTGCTCGGCCAGGTTCATGCGGTGCCTTTTTGCCTCGTCCACATCCTGCCAACAAGCCGGCAGCACACGTATTCGTGAAAGAAGGGGCACATCGAAGACCTCACCAACAAAGAAGAGATCAAGACAAGAACGACTGCCGCCGCCAACAGTTGGGGATTCGGAGAGGCATTCGATCTGTCCTGCCAGGTTATCTCCGCCTGGAGCGATGCCCGAATGCCCGCCATGGAGTGCCTCCTTCGAGACGGAAAGATGCTGCAGGACCGTGAGACCACACCAGACTTCAGGGACTCCTCCTTGAGCGAACCCAATCTTGTTGATCTGGTCCGGTGTGTATTTCGAACCTGCCACGAGCTCCGCGGCGAAGTATGTGGGGCATCTGAAAGTTGCACTGAAGGGTGGTGCGAATCGGCCTGGGACACCCATCCTTGTGGAAGCTAGTCTCGGCAAGGTCGTAGACATGTCCCGGATGCACCTCGACCGGCCAACCCCTGCGGTAGCTACAACACAACGCCTGCGGATCGAGCAAAACAAGCGTCAGACAGCTTTCAACCGCAAAAGCTGCAGATCGAAGATGTCCTGTATGCGTGCGAAACCACCTGGGCAGGCAACAGAATCTATGCCCAGCTCAAGAGTACAGGGCAGCGCTTTTACCAAATCCACCTCGTGTGAAGTAGAGGCCATCTTGTCGTCCGGTGTGCCGAAGAACGGCACTCAATGCCTGGGAGTCATGACCCGAGTGCTGACAGAATCTCGACATTTTTGATCTGACCTAGATGTTGACGATGTGCAAAGTTGAGGGAAACATAATGATGCAAGGATGATGATGGTGTCATCACCAAGCTTTGGCAAATCCTGCTCTCTCACACACACAGTCTTCTTTGCTTAAAATTGTCCTTTGTCGTAACAGTCTTGCAGCTTTGGGACGGGCACAGTGCTGCCCGGGATGTCTAAGGAAAGCTGCTCACCAAACAGTGAATCACTGAAAGACTGGGTTGGCAAATTACATGTCTTCCTGCGCCGTACTCAGCTTCATCCAGAAAACCGTCTTTCCATCTCAGCCGTGCTGCCTTTGACAGCTTGTCGTAATATCGCTCGCTTGCATCTGTTCCCATGGCTTATGGCTACATATTCAAGAAGTCAACCGTCCACGCCTTGAAAACATGTGTGGCTGTGCGTGGAGGCAGTTGGTTAGCCGCTTCAGTTGGACCCAAACTACAGTAGCTGCTGCGAGCCTGAAGAAGGCCCAGACAGTAGCCACGGCTGAGTACAGCATGCGGACGAACTGCAAGGGCCACCTGGAGGCCCAGCGCGACACGCCCGGCACGTCCGCCTCCAGGCTTGGCCACGGACCCCGCCTCAGAGCAATACGGCTGTAGCATGAGCCCTATGAGCGCAGGAGGATCCAGTGATACAACCCCGAAACGTGCCGGACGGACGGCTCGACTGGCAAAGGCATGGAACAGCTGCTTCATGGCCTGAGACAGACAAAGAGAGACGGAAAGGAGAGAGAGAGAGAGAGAGAGACTTTCCAAAGAAGCTGTGCCTGACCGAGTTCCTCGGTAGTCGCCATGCCAGCCGCTCCAACCGGAGAAGCCTGCAAGCTTCCCTGAGGCTCAAGGCTGCCTCAATGGAGAGGGGGGTCCAGGGGTCCTCCTTCTTGAATTCTGCCGGCATCGAGCCGCGCGCTCGATCTGCTCCTGCAGCCCGGCGTTCGATGAGGTGCTGTTCTCCAATCAAAGAAATGCCGGCCTTTCGGGGATGCGGAAGGTCCGTTGGAGTGGCTGCCTGCATGGTATGTCAAGCGGAAACTGAAAAACCTTGAAGTCTGGACGACTGGGCCTCCCAAAGCGATGCTTGGAGGCGGTGCAGGTGGAGGCGGAGGCCTTTACACGCAACATTGAGCACCACAGTGCGATCTTGCTCTGCTGGGCTGCCCTGTGGGACCCTAGCGCTCGAAGAAGGCCGACGCCAAGTCCCGTGTCAGGAGAGCTGAAGACCTCTGCGTTCGGCAGGTCCGGTGCGAGAGCTTGGAATTCTCAGAGCAGGGCAGGGAGCTCTGGCAGCGGATCCGCACCCACGGCAGCCTCGCGAAAAGGTGGCAGGCATCTGTCACGGCTCAGCCTTCAGGCCTCACCTCTGCAGTGCTTCTTGTGGGAAAACCGCGGTCCAACCTTTGCAGCGAATCTGTAAAAAAACATCGTCTTGGCTCCACTTTCTTCACTGCTTCACTTGAGCGGTTATCAAAACCTCTTTTCAATCCGTCATCAAACCCTTGCGCGCTTATGGTGCGCGCAGCTTCCGCGGAGCCAACTGTCCCTGACGCGCGGGCTCTTGAGTCAGGTCTTAAGCTTTAAGCCTTCCGCGCGCCCTTCCGCATTTCAGATCTTTACGCACACCCCTGCCGCAAGATACCCTTGACACACTTCGCGCATCGGTTTTTAAAGCAACCGCGCGCATGCGACTGTTGCTGACGCGCGCTTGCGCGCCCATTCGTTAGTGATGGCCCTAGTCTGGCCAGCTCTTCGATGGTTTAGCTCTCCGCTCAACTTGTGATTGAAGATGACCGAAGCCGAGAGTCACTTGCCGAATTCCGGAGCTGCTGGTTTCTTCGTTGAAGACTTGCCGCATGCGTGAGGCTCCGGCATTCCTCCGCATTGTGCAGGATGCGCCGGTGCTCTTATTCTTGCACGACCCGAATCGTCGCCGAAGACTGGAGGAGGTGCCTAAGAGATGAAGTGCTCGTACGTTATGGGTTCCGATACTTGTGCTGTAGGGATGTCACAGCATCCAACGGTGGCGGGGCTGGTGGCGGCGCTAGCCCAGACAAGAGGCGACCCTGAGCGCATGAAGCAGCCCTCTCGTGCTCTGCTCTTTAAACTGCAGGACAGAAACTACTTTGCGAGAAGCATGAGCAGGTTGTCCTCCAGCATCGGATGTAGCCTCTCCTGCGGGGAAGCCTCGCCCCTCACAGCTCGCGGTGTTCCGCTGGCCGCTGCCTCATCTCTGTACACAGCCATCGAGTGACTAGCCTTCATGTGCATGTTGCATACGGAAGCAGGAAAATCCACCTGATCGGCAACGCTTGCGTACAGGGGCCCAGACAAAATGCGGCCTTGCCACATTGCCGGCCTCCTGCATCGCCAGAGTCGCGCAACCCTGTTCACAGCCTTTCCACAGCTTTCCCAATGATAATGCAGGCCTCTTCCAGAACTCGGAGTTGACGCCTGCAACACCGCATTCCCAGTGCAAGCTTAACTTCTTCGGGAGCTTGGGGCACCGACTTCTTCTGCTCTATGCCCCGTTGCAGAGAAATCAGCTCCTCCTCTGCACTTGCCTGTGCCGGACGAACTGCCAGACGGCCAGACGCATCAGTGAATGACCAACGCAAAGCCGCAAGCTGCGCTCAGAAAAACAAAATGGAGCAACCTGAATTTTTCAAATCCGCCCGCTTCCAAACCTTTCCACAAGGACCTTTCCGTTGCCTCAAGATGCCTCAATCTGCCCCACCCTTCTCGCCAAAACCCTTGCAGTTTACTGTTTGCAGCAACAACATCGTTGGCCTGAAACTTGGTAGGATGTCAAACATTCCTTAAAGTCAGCACCTTGGTTTTCGTATGTCCAACTTCACATTCGATGGCTGCTGGCTTTTGCGCTCTTCAGCCTGTTGAGTGCAAGCCGTCTGCCACCTTTTCCGACCCATCGATGGTTGGTGTTTGTGTTGTCAATGTAACAACGATTCTTCAGCGGAGAATCGTCAAAATACTTATAGATGTCCAGCTGAGAACCTTCAACTTCTTTCATAATACAATACTGATTAGCTGGAAGGTTAGTCATAAACAAACATAGTGTATGTGAACAGGTAAGAATACGGGGGAAGCACGATTTGCACAGAAGAAGCCAATAGAAACCCCTAAGCCCTAAACTTAAGCAAGCACATCGCCGTGAGAATATGCAGAAATGGAGAATGACCCGTGAACCAAAAACCTCAAGTCAAACCCTAAACTCTTAAGAAAGCCTCATAGGGTTTATTGGTTGGGGGGGCTTGCACATAGTTTGGCCACGCGGAGAAGGCATTTGGACGGTTCTTGGGGGGGGGGGGGGGGTTCAGGGGCTACGGTTTGCCAGAGTAGGTGTTATTGCATTCGCCGCTTTTCTCCTCCTGCAAAACTCCTGCAAATACAGTCGAATACCAATTTGATTAAGGCAGGTATCGGGTGAGGGCGGTTCCCTGATGGCCCCGTACTGTACTTCGCCATCCTCCCCACCCGTGCCCAGTCCAAATCAAAGGTGGGTCAGTAAGCGCAACTGTTCTGTGCCACCACAATAGACTTCACTCATGCCTGCGACAGTTTACAACACTTTATGTCACACCTGATCAAGAAGCTCCGTCCGAGGCACGAGTAAGCCTACCCGTGTAGCCCCCAGCAGGACTTACATCGCCCGTGCAACCCCAATTCACGTACTGAGGACCATAGGCCACGGCACTGTTTAGGCTTTCAAACCCGGCACGATTGAAACCTCCAGCCTTTCAAGCATCCAAACACCAAGTTTCATTCTGCACGACCTTTGAAACTTTCAACCTGTCAATCTCTTGACCCTAGCGGCGACCCGCGAAACGGATGGAAGCGTCAAGCTCCTCAACTTTCGATACTTCAAACACACACACACAGTTAAGTTCTGTGTTTTTTCAACTTTTGACAGGTTCAAGGTTCGAACTGTGCAAACTCGAAACGCTTGTGCTCGGAGTGCCGTGAGCTCGAAAGCATTTAAAGTTTCGAGCATGAAAGGTCGACGTGCCCAAGCAATCGAATCCCGCCAGATCAGAACTTGCAAAAAAAACAACTCAATCTCCACTTGAGTTTGAAGGAACTTCGCTCGGGACGCTGCGCAACCCTCGAACTTCGCTGGCCTGGCCTGCAAGGGCTGTCGCTGTCCCGCTGCACTCGCCTTCGACTTCAAGTGCTGCCACTGCGCTGCTACGAGTACACCCTCATGGCTGAGACCGACACCTGTGAACGAGTCTCCCAAGGTAATGCAGGCGCGGGAGACGAGTCGACTGGCAATGCATGCTCAGCGGTGCAAGTCAATAGAGGTTCGGATCGGTCCGGCCTCGGTCTTTGAATCCACCACGATCGCCAACCTGCACATCACTTGATTGATAAGCTGGTTCCTGATCTGCAGGATGTATGACCACACCGCACCACAACCGGAGGTGTCCTGGACTCTGACGGTATTCCCACCGTATCCCACAGCGCAGATGCAAACTTGTCGCTGGGCCCCTGGTCTGCCAAGTGGGTGCCTGGAGCTCTCTGCCAGGAGAAAGCGCAGAGGGACCCGTACCTCAGAGCCCGATTCATTCATCCCGGCCATCCCGGCCTTCGGCCCTCGCTTGGAAGTTCTGGGTTTGAACTCAGTGACTTGCGACCCGAATTTCGCGGCCTGGCTGGACCATCACCCTCCTTCTCTTCTCTCTGACTTCTCGCATGTCTCTGCTGAGGGCGTGTCGTCGTGGATGCGGCCTGGACAGCCGAAGCACTATGAACAACATGTGGGCAAGCAAGTCTCAACACCCTAACTGCTACTGTACATAACCTACTTGGTCTCAGGCAGCCAGCTGTCGAGGACTTGCAGGAGCTTCATCCTGCTTTTGTCCGGAGACAGGCGTCTGAGCAGAAAATGGCAGACCAACCGGTTCAAGCATAGCACTCTGGGTTCTTCCGTTCGAAGTTCCCCAAACAGTGTGATACACACTCTACGGCTCTTACTCTTTATGCTTTTGGTACAGCAGGAACTGTTAGTGAAGCATGCCAGAAGATGCGCACAAAGTACTCCGCCCTCATGCTGTGGAGTGGGGGATCATTTATGTTCTGTTCGCACTATGCACACTGTACACACTTCCGGTGTGGACGCATCCTCCGCAAAGAACGGTCCATTGTAAATTCAACACATCGCACTCACGTTGGCCTCGAAAGGCACCGGTGCATGAGAGGAAGCAACGTTGGACATGGATCTGCATCCAGGCGGGAAATAATTCTAGTAAGTGTGCCCGTAGAATACTGAATCGCGCCAGTACACGGGGGGGGGGGGAACGACTTTTGGGGGTGGCCCCGGTGTTTGCTGGAAATCCTGGCTGGTGTTTTGGTGGTTTCCTTGGCGGTTTCCTTGGTAGTTTCCTAGTGGTTGTGGTGGTCGTGGTCGTCCTGGTCCTGCTGTCGTGGTGGTAGTGGTCGTCCCGGTCTCCCAGTGCGCAGCGCTTGTGTACCGTCAGACGCAGGTAAACTATGCCCACGCACAACATCCTGCTTGTTGCCATGTCCTTTGCAGACATAGTCTCCAGAAGCCGCTTCTGCCTGCAGTCAAGCATCAAGCCCGCTCCCGGAATCAAGCTGATGCGACCAATCTTTGCCAATCTGAGCTCGGCACGTCAGATATTGCTTTTGAATTTCCGATCGCATACCTAGACACCGTGACGAGATCTAGAACAACAGGCTTCAAGCTTCACTCTGCGCCTTCCAGTTGCTTCTCAACATCGCCTCTCAGAGCTGACACACAGAGACATGAATAGACAACAGCGACATGCCCCACGACTGCCTAGCTCGTCTTCCCTCACCTTGACGTTCCTCTCCCACTCCTTTGCGGGCTATGTCGCTCTCGGTTGCTCTCAATAACACGTCTTGCCCAGGCAGGAAGCTGTCCTGCAAGCGATCTACCTCGGTGTGGATTGCGTCACCCACGTGCAAGAGGACCGCCTCCGCCCACAGAGCTCTGGCATTGCTGCAGAAACAACAACACTAACAAGAACGCCCACCACCACCACGATAGTACAACCACAACGACAATGCAGGCGTGCACCTGATGCTCTGCAAGCTGATCCCGGCACCTGCAAACTTTCGATGGCTTCAGGCAAGTACGCACTGTTGCATTCCATAGCGCCAGCATGCAGCACAGCAGTGCAGGCCCCTTATGACCGCGGCCTTTCCAACTCACTGCGAACTTCAGCAAGTCTGCGCCATTCATCTGCGGCGGACCATGCCAGCCGGGAAACCGAAGCCTGCAAACTAAGCAGACTACCACGCCATACTGGCGCTTCAGTGCTACCGCCCAGTCCTCTGGCGGAGGATCGCCACTTCGATCTCCAACTTTGCTCAAGCCGTTCAGGCCTCCCCGTGTCGCGCTTGTTGTGGCATGAATGGCTGCCCATTGTCACCCGTCGGGCAGACCTCCAGTTGCGGCCAGAGCGGTGACATCTGGTGCTGGGATTTCCTCACATTAGCAGAGGTGCACTTAATTTCCCCCCACATATTCGCATATTACCAGCGCAAAGGATGTAAAGGCGAAAACGGGAACAGGAAGCGGCGGATGCTCTCGAAGCCACCTGAGGGACCTAAGGCAGACCATCATACAGAAAACAACTTTGCAAAGCAATGTCAACACGTGCTTGATTGCCTATATGCTTTTCGTCCGACTGTCTGCGCGCTCGGCCTGAGTCTATCAACATTTAAATTTAGTTTAATGGGCTCTGTGCAGGGGGAAGCATGCCACTGCTGGATGCCAGGCTTGTGAAACGCGTTTATCGTCTATGCCGTCGACTGCCGCCCTTCCTGCAGCAGCCAATTCAGAACGCTGCCAAATGTGATGGCTTGGCCCGGCTGCAAGACACCGATCCTGCAAAGCAGGAGCTGTTTCATCTGCGACAGCCGACCAGTAGGAACAACAAGGATGGGCAGCTGGCCCCTCTCCACCGACTTCCCCTTCCAGTATGTAGAACTGTCAAGAAATTTCAACACATCGCGCTCTTCACCTGCACCTGTGTCACCAAATCGGCACTTCCTTTCTCAGGCCCTCTGCCCGCTGCCTGCACAGACTCCTCCTCGGCGCAGACGTTGGCCGCAGCGGAAACTGCAAGATGATCAAGATGGAGATGGTTGGGGGCAGCCACTGATTCTCCACACAGCAAAAGGTTGATCTGGCTGGCTGCTTATTGTGCAGAACTTGAGATCTCCAGGGGCCCCTTCCGCCAGATAAACGGAGTGAAATCATGCACAACTGCCGCGAACGGCTTCGTGGGCAGCACGTGGGCAAGCTTTTCTTATAACGGACCTGAGGTCAAGGTGCATGAGCTGCAAGGTTCGGCACCGGGTGCATAGTGTTGCATTGTCGCTCCGTAAGCAAGTGGAAGAGGCAGGGCTGACTCGCCGACCATTCGAACTGCGGCACCATCATCAAGCAGATTAAGAAGTGGCAACCTGCACTAAGAGAAAGCTTCAGCTACGCGTCCTTGGCACATGCACTGTTCTTGGTTAAGCATCTTTCTTCTACTATGCACGAAGTTGTTTGTCTTGCACACTGTTCACAAACCAGGGATGACCAATGCCCCACACAAATCAGCACTGCCGTTTCTAGAAAGACGAGCTGATGAGTGGCGGGTCTCATCAAAGCACTAGTCTGGAGAGAGCACGGGACGGTGGAGTGAGAGAACCTGGTTAGAGTTTTGAAAAGGTTGACTGGGCGGCGAGCTGATACCCGAACTCCTTCAGATTGCCCCCAGCTCAGCATTGTGATGATGGAGCCGCTGTCGCATGACTTACGTTTCAAAGTACACTCCGGAAGATTCCGAACTCATCTTCTTCTGATTGTCCTTCGCCACGCTACAGCACCCACAAATCTGCACGCACAGCAAACCGTTCGCCTCTGTTTGATGGCAGATATGTAAGTGAAACTGGTCGCCCGCAATGGTGGAACCACATTTCCTGAATATGGAGCCAGACAGGGCGGGGGAACAAGCACAGAGATCGTCAACACAATGAGCATTCGACCGCCTTCTTGAACCAAAGGTCAAGCAGTTCACCGACACGGCACTGGTCTCCTCGTCTGCTTCAGCTGCCATGCCCTCGGTCTTCGCCATGTCCTGCCCAAGCAACTGACACAGTAAAAATCAAGTACATCTCACTTCTTGCACGGATCGCAAGGCAAGTCTTCCAACACCACAAAACAAACCTCTCAGAAGGAGCACAACTATGTGCTGTTTGTACTTGAAATCACACGGATTGCATGCAAAACACGGACGGCCTTGATCAGAGAGTCGTAGGTCTCCTCTTGAAACCGGTGCGACGGGCTACCATCACTGGTGTCAGTGTCGGGTCAAACTCCGTCCTGCGTCATGTCAGGCATCCTCTCTGGTCGGTGAGGTAGGGCACGTCTCAACTCTGCTGGCTTTGTGGCCTGTCTCTGCTCCTTCAAAGACTGAGCATGACCACATCTCCATGACAGCGGCAAACAGCTGGATTTCGCAAAGTCACCTGCTGATACTTGCAGCAAAGGCTCCCATTTTTTGGCACACTGCCGCATGTGGATCTCCAGTGACGCCGTTCCGAACTGTTTCCCGCAAATATGGCAAAGAAGGCTTGGGATTGGGATGTGCTTCGGTGATGGTGAGGTCGGTGAGGTGTTACCTGTAGGAGAAGGGCTCCGGGAGCCCCGGCCAGGACTCTTCGTGTGCTGGGCCCGGGCCCGGGCACCGTCGGTAGCAAGATCTTCGCAGATTCGGAGGTGTTGCTCAAACTTCTCCTCGTCCCAAAAGCTCCGGCTGCAGAACTTGCAGCTGAGCATGTGGCACGCCTGGAAGATCTTCAGGGCTGCTCGATTGTAATCGTCCTGTCTTACACATGACAGGCAGTCAACTGCAAATGTAGCTCATGCATGAAAATGCCGGTCCTGCGACATCCCGATGCTGCTTTCGGGAGGATGCGGAAGCGGACGCCTCTCATCAGTTGGCCTTTTCGCCTCTCTCTGCGACCACTTTCGGGTACATTGCTGTCGATGAATGTCCTTAGCATGCCCGATGCTCTATTCCGCCAGTGTGGGCTGCTGCTGCTTGCGACAGTCTCGTACGTCCCGTGCGCTTCATCTCCAGGACGCTAGACCCCATCAAACCCTGCTCTCTGAGCCAGCGACAATGCTGGCGGTGCCGAAGTCTTTGCCGCAAAGGTGGCAAGTGACCAAGACCAAGCATCCTCTCGGCAACTGGTCCTGCTCCTTTTCTTCCGGCATTGCCACACTGTTGATCTTGCAGCTGGCCAGATGCAAACTGAACTGCTTGTCGTCTGCGAGTCTCCGACCGCACCTCGGGCAAGCTTCGGCACTCTCTTCCTTGTAGATTACTCTGGCGCGTTGGTTGTATTCCTCGCTGCCAAGGTCAGCTTCGGGAGCTGGTGGAACTTTTCGCCGCTCCTTTGGCGGCTTTGCATGCTCACGCTCTTCCCAGATCTTCCGGCAACGTGGCAAGTGAATGGCAATCGAAGCGCGGCTGAAATGTCTACCACAAAGGTGGCAAACAACTGCCAGTGGGTGAATGGACATTGAGGCGGCAGTCTGTACCTTGGGAGCTTGACGGATGGATCTGGTCGGCATCTCTTCGGCGACGTTCGCTTTTGCGCAGCGAGGCACGGCTTGTAGCTGGCGATCCCAGATTGGTTTCTGTGCCTCGCGAGCTTCTCGGAGCTTCTGACACCGAGGGACGTGGCAGTGGATAGATTTCGTGCCAAAGAGCTGTCCGCACACATTGCAGGTCACAAACTTCGCAAACCGCTTCAGTCCCGGAGCCGGGATGGGATCTGGAGATGGCGTCTTGCCTCCCAGGAATTCGTGGTTACTGAGAGCTGCTAACTCCAGCTAACTGCTACTTGTAACTTGGATGTTCTGGAACAGCCGCGAAAAAGAGAAACGCTTCTACCCGTCAGTGATTTTTGTTGTGTCGAAACGCTCTCTTCACGACATGCAGAATTCATGCTGCGGATTCCCTTCAGAAAAGCTGGTGCAAGCACAATTTTCATCTGGAAATTATCTGGAAGGACACGTATGTGTGCCAAGCCTTCAACAAAACACAAACAGAAGCAATAACCAGACCTGCCACCGACCGTTCGGAAGCCCGCAACATCGACAAACCCTTTGCGAGACCAGTGGCACTTCGCCACTCTGCAGAACAGTTTCAGAACAATCATGAACAATCCGCATTTTCTGCTTCCTGCGTTCCTGCCTCGAGGCGTAGAATCTCGACTTCTGAGTGCAGCCTTCAATTTCTGGGAGTTCTCGCGCTTCTGTGGAGCATGGAATATCCTCTGACGCTGTCCGCACTGGTTCTGGTGGACCTTTATGGATGTGTACAAAAAGTTTTTCCCACAGAATTGGCAGGGCACAGTCTTCGGCGTCTGGGGTCTTTGACGTTGCACTGCATGAGCACTGTGGCTGCGTACAACCCAAGCTTCAGCTTGCCCGGCTGCATCGCAGCTTTTTGCTCGCTCAGATCTGTCTGGGCTTTCAGAGTCAATTCCCCGTTCGTCGTGGCGGTGTCTCTTCCGCTCTTGCTGTAGCTTTGCGCACTTACGACGGTGCAGGGTAATCGATGCTTCGGTAAACTCGCGTCCACAAGTTTCGCAGGTCACCGGCTTGGGCTTCCTTCTGCGACAGGCGCTTGTGGGCAAGGGAGCAGCGTTGAGGTCTTGGAGTCCGCGAAGTTGTGCCTCCTTGATAAAGATGTCCTCGGGCTGCGTCCTATTGGCAGGAACGCAGCGGCCACAAGCTTCGCGAGTTTTGCTGAGGCCGGTTTAAGGCTGCCACCCGCGCGGCTTCATTGTACTGCTCCTGGCTTCTCGCGCTCGCAACAGCAACGTGTACGGATACGGATGCCCTTTTGAACCAGCTCCTGGGTCATGTTCGGTGTCCAGGCAGGTGGGCTCGGAAGGGGACGCCGCTGATCGGCTTCTTTCTGCTGCTCCTGCATCTGCCACTTCTGCTGACAGTATTGGACATGGATTTCCTGAGCAGACCATCCGAGAGTCCGAGTGCAGGTGTCTCGCGTCGCTGCAATCCGATGATCGTGTAAGCTGAGCTCAGGTCAAAGGACTTACTTCCAAAGTTGCATCCGCATAGGTGGCAGGTCAGATGGAACGGCATTGGAATCGGGACGACTTGGATCTCCTCTCCGGGAACCTCCAAGCCACAGACTTCCAAATGCTGCTGCAAGCTGTGATCATCGGGAAAAGCACGCCCACAACTCTGGCAAATAATCTGCACCTCGGCAAGAAGCCAGGCTTGGGCACAGTCAAAACACGACGGGGCAATCAAAGCTATGCAACCTAAAGGCCTGGAGCCTTGGAACGCAATCCGAGGGATCTGACTTACCTTCTTTCCAGACTCGACAGCTTCAATGAGCCTGCCAAAGCCAAACCATGGATACGGCTTGAACATGTCTGTTACGCAGTTAGCTGCGTGCACACGAAACACAAAGTGGGTTGATAGATCTGCTCTTCATTGGCCGAAACACGTGTGGAGCTTCCGGAATATCTGCTCTAGGACAGCTCCGTAGATGAGCTTGCAGCTGGTCAACATGCATATCCTTGCCACAGTGAGCACATCGCCTCCGAAATCGAGCTCTCACGACCTTGTCGTGAAGATCGTGTCTTAATGACTGAATCTGACAATTGCCTTACACTGAGCAGAACTGATGCCTCTTCAGGGGGCACAATCCCTTAGAACACAGCTCAGCTAGCTGCCCGGTTGAAATCTGCTTGTGTCATATCCGGCGCGAGGTTGGGGCATTCTGGCACAGATTCCCGATGCGGTCTTGGCTTCAGTTGCTGCGCATCCTCCCATTTTTTGATACATTGCTCCAGGTGCACGTCGATGGAGGCCTGCAGCCATGCAATCGAGTCTCCCCCAAGTCCGCATCTTGAGAACCAGACGTCGCTTATCTTAGGGCCCTGGCGGCTCCGAACTCCCGAGAGCAGACATGGCAAGCAACGAGGCAGGGCACGCGGCTCTCTGACACCACCATGGCGTCTACCGAGGAACATCAAAGCAATCCTATCTTCACAAGGCACTACGTGCCAACAACAAGAACAGCTTCACAAATGACTGCGAACATGCCGTAGTATAACGCAAAGTTCCGACATCTCTTGGTGCAAATGCCGAGCTGCTGGCGGAAGTTGATCGGTGAAAGTGCCGCCGGCTCCCTTCTGGACTCGGCCTTGCACTGCCTTGCTCTTGGCTTTCGGATCTGCCTTCTCTGGCACGAAGCCTGCGGCAACAACGTCTTGAAGCCCTTGCCGGATTCTACTGCACCGGCCTATGAGTCGTGGCACCAGTGGAGAGCCTCTTATGGGATGACCATCCAGCAGCACCTTCCGAGTGTGCCAACGGAACCTCCAAGAACGAAGCGACGTTCCGACCCACCTCCAGCTTCACAGGCCCTTGGGCCCAGTCGGGAATGGAGTAGCTCACAGTGTACGTGCCATCCTTGCGGGCACTCTTCCGGGCAAGGTTGCGAGCCCTCGCAAGCCTGACGCATAATTCGCAAATGCCCGCATCGAAGGTTGAGTAACCGTTGCTGCTACCAAAGCACGTTTCCAATTTTTGAACCCACAAGCTCAATATCGATCGCCCTGTATCTTGGCCTCATTGTCTGAAACTTCATGCAGGCGCACATGGGCGCTTGCACGGACGCCGAAACCTGACTTCCGATTTGCCGGTTGCAACTCCTTCGGCATTTTGGCATAAAGGCCGAAACGAGCTCCGCCCTCTCCGCACAGGTTCCCGAACTCGTCCATCGCCTGCATTAACCCCCGTGCTTGGCACTGCTATAGGCGTAGTTTTCCAAGTCCAATCAAAGCTCAAGAGTGTTGAGCAGCTGAGACTTCTTTGTAGTTTCGCCTGTATCGTGAACTCTGCGGACCCACCAAGCGTGCAGCGCTGCGACCCATCGCCACGAACCTGCTTACTCAACTCCCAACGTATCTAACATTGCATTACCGTATTTCAGTACAATTCCCTCCGGCCTGTGTCGTGGTCGCGCTGGGTGGGCCAGGCCTCAAAGGATCCGCTCGTAGCAGGGCAGTGACGAACCAAACGAAAAGGCTCCGAGTGCAGCACGCGACAGTGACCGCAACAGGACCTCGGTGGGGATACTCTGGTCTTGGGTTGTCTCTGTCTTCAAGTTTGTGTTGAAGTTTACATGGCAGGCAGGTGGTGCTGCCCAAGGATCTGACACATGGGCAAAGCGACGCCATCCACGCAGGCTGTGATCTCATAGACCCCAGGCGTGGCGCAAACAAACTGGACGTGGTACGTGCCATCCTGTGCAGATGCAGAAAATTGCACGACTCTGCCGATCGTGTTGAGTGAGACCACGCCCTGCCTGACGGTCTTCCACAAAAGGTCGTGGCTCTGGTTGAGTTTTGGACATCAAGCTTCGGCCGGTCCTCAGACACTCGGGTTTGGACCTTCGCCACTGCGATACAGGCAAAACCTTGATGGAACTGATCTCTCAAAGAAAGTCCCGTTGCTTTGGACACTGAAGAATTGCACTCAAAACACGGCCCAATCAGGCTTGCGCCGGTTCAGAAGTAGCTGGGGAAAACAGTGTTCACTGTTGAACAGATCTCAATTTAGAGGATTGCTTTGGGACCTGGAATAGAGCCGGCTCACTCTTGCTGTCTCGCAGGAAGGCTAAGATTCCTGCACTGTGCAAGTGACGGATGCTCCGCCTTCTTTCATGACCTGCAGGTTGCTCGGCAACTCGGCTCTGCAAATCGTGCAGAGGAAAAACACATTTCCGAGCGCAATGCTTGGCCATCTGAAGTCACCGTCGTCACCTGCGCATTTCACGACAGTAGCCCGAGAGAGAGAGACAGAGAGAAAGAACAAGAGGCCAGAATGAGGCGACCACGATGAAATACATGCGCTCTCCACATTTGCCGCCCACCAATGCCGGCCCATGTGCCAGGCAGTTTGCCGCCTCACCAGTGTCACCCGCAGCCGTGCATGGCCGCCACGGCGGCACTGACACGCAAGAAGGCACCACCTTGGCCTTCAACGTCTGTGCCGGCGCGGGCCTTCAGGAGCTTACTGAGTATCTGCTGCAGTCAACCCGAGTGGCAAGGATCCGAATGACACGGATGCCGAATGGCAACCAGATAGGATCCACGCTGCTCCAATGCTTTCTTCTGTGCGGAGATGACTTCATCAGCCCTGACAGTGCTACGGCTGCAGCTGGGCCAACTAGGTGAACTACCTGGCCTTAAGCCTTCCACGCCAACTCGCGGTGGCCTTTGCCTGACATTCACTCGTCAGTTCTCAGCGAACTCTTCCAAGTCAAAATGAATCAGTGAAGGTGCCGGAAGCCCAAACTTCGCGACCCCCTGCCACGAAGTTTGAATTTCGGGACGTGAAGCAACTTGATCGCAGTCTGGTGTGGAGACCTTCCGGCCAAAGGCCCCAAAAGAGAGTCGACATCGAGCGATTGGAGGTCGACGCCAAGAACGAGCGCACCTGCCATTCTGATTCTCTAGTCGCTGCTCAGCCATCTGTAGTCGCGGCCTTCGTCAGTATCCTGTACCTGTACAGGTTTGGAAATTCAGAATTCTGGGAGCAAGTACGGCCTTTTCGGTGCACAGGCCTTCCTCTGCCCTGTCATTGGGATGGGAACGCGATGCGGCGCTGCTCCTGTACGTGAAAAATTGACAAGTTCTTCCAGCCCAGCTGCAGGCCGAGGCCTCGTGCACATCCCCAGGGGCGTCATCGGCGTCACTAGCTACAACATGGCGAGAACGGCTCTCAAGCCTGCGCTTATCAGTGAATCTACAGACGGCACAATCAAATTGACATGAGCTACTCTAGCAAAGATAACTTGCTGAGCGGTTTGTAGGCTGATCCTACTGAGGTGAAGCCGAATGCAAGCATGGCAAAATTTCGACAATCACATGCGTCATATGCAGATGCATTGTAGTATAAAGCACACACGTCTGGGAAGTGACTGGTCTCTGCATCAGTTGCCGCTGGGGCCGTTTTTGGATTGTACCACCAGAAGACCATGTCCGGTGCTAAATGAAGTGTGGTGTTTGGTGGCAGGCTCCCGTGAGCAGATGCTACGACCCCAGGCCAGATACGAGCATAATCATGGCCTGCGATGATGCCGCCTTCACGGACGAGAGAGCTCCAGGCTTCAATATCCCGTCTCACAGAGTGCTCCTCATGATCTGCATCAAGGAATGCTAAATCAAATTCCCGGAGACCGCTCCAGGACTTTGCTGCAGAAGTGCTGTGGTCCACTGTGAGCTGCGCTCGTGTACCAAGCCAAGGTGCCAGCGCTAAACGTGCTTCGGCAAGTTCGGAGCCTCCTTTAATGGGATCTCGGTCAACAGCCACGTACAGATCAACCCCCAACCAATTCAGCTTCGGATGAGACGACAGCAGCCTAGCAGAGCATTCCGCCCGGTTGACTCCAACTTCCACCACTTCTGGCGTCAGCGCAGGAACGGAACCGATGGGACGGTGCGCCAATGCCCAAAGCAGAACTGCAGCACGGTGTTGGATGCCCTCAGGCGCAAATCGGTTCGGAGCTTCTCCGTGAAACTCTGCTCGCTTTACACGAGTGCTGCCGAATTGTATCACCTCGTCGCCCAGAAGAGTTGTGGCCTCGAAATACTCCGTAAACGTGATAGTTACATTGTCAACAGCTGCAAGCGAAGTCAGAATGTCAGCTTTTCCCGTGGCGAGGCAGCTCAGCGGGAAGACAAGGTCACGGGGCAAAGCTTGCGTGATCAAAGCCGCTGTGCTCGTTCCGAAGGCCGTGCGTACCCTGCCAGCTCTTGGGAGGAAGGCTGTAGCCGCACCGAGCCACCTGCAGGGGTGTCGAGATTTTGCAGCTTGGGCTTTCAACGATTCAGCTTAGGCAGCTGCCATCAGCTGCCTCTGTAACTTGCGCTACAGGCTTGAAGTATCGACTGCTTCCTGGGTTCAAGGGCTATTAGACTGTTGGGTCTTCGTTCCGAGTGTCCGGTTTCTCATTCCTTGCAAGCTCCAAGCTTGTTGATGTTTCCGGGTTGGAGTGCTGTCCCTGCTATCCCATGACATGAAGAACAACTATAAGACTGGCGTAGTGCTGAGCAATGGTGCATTAGCAAATGCCGCTAGCTTCTCAGGAATAGCATCGTGCAGGCCGTGTTTGGCTGCTGTCTTTAGCAGCCTTGAAAAGTACATTGGCGTCGTCAATATGGACTGCTTGCCGGGGTGGGTATTTGCATCATGCACATGGGATTCCGGGGAGCAAAAACAAACGTGTAGGAAGTTGCTTTTCTGCACCAAAAGCACACAAGGTTTTGGCGTAACCGACACATCTGGCCTTGTAGCTTTGCCCAGTCTTCTAAGCATCAGGCACCAGGCCGCTCGCCAGTGTGCAAGAAGTTCGGCACATTGAAGTGCATAAGAAGCACAGAATAAGCGCAGTGTGAGCGCGATAGTTGTCAAATCAACGATTGCGTTGCTGATGAGATGGTGATACTTAGGAGCACCGACATTTCCCAGGCCGAGCGTCCTGTTGAAAGGCATAAAGTCTGGAGGGATGGAACGCGAGAGCCGTGGTGCACGGGTTCTGCGACCTGCCCATCGTCGGCACACATCAGATGTCAGCGCGCGCTCTGCATCCTGGAAAAAGCGAAGCTGCTGCGCAGGCCAGCTGCCATGGTGAAAATCCGCTTCCTCTTCGCTCAAATATCGAAATTCCGTTGCAGAGTCAGTCATCGCCAGCCGGCAAATTCGCTGGCACCACCATGAGCTGTTCGATTACTCATGCCCGGCGACTCTTGAGTGATGCTTGATTGACCTACCGTCTTGTCGACCATGACCAGTAGTTCCTACGCGTCCTTGCTCGGAGCTGCAGCGGAGCTGCAGGCATTGTCTTCAGCTGCTTGCACCGGGGTCCAGCCGTGCAACAACTGATGTCTGCAACTGATGCAGGTAAGAAAGGCAAATGCATCCGCAGCAAGACAGGTACGGTTTTCAATCCCGAAACGAGCACCGACTTTTTGGCACAGCAGGTCGCTCCGGCACAGTTGCCCGGCCCGACCTGTTTCCATTAACACCTATTCGGCCTATACGATCAGCTTTTCACGCCTCGGTCTTGCAGCCACACGGTATCTTTGTCGCTGAACGTGCATGCACCGCTCAGGGCCACGCCTGAAGAATTCCCTCAGGTGCCCAACCTGCCACATGACGAGCCCCCCTTCCATGGCCTCAGACGAAGTCGGAATTGGCATGAATGCCGCAAGCAAGGAAACTGGCGGTTCTCAGCCCAGCACCATAATGAACAAAGCCACCCAAACCTGGCTATTAGCTCAACCCTGTGTTGGTTCCAATGCTAAGTGCAACATATTCATCCGCAGCTAGCTGGATCGCTGTCAAGCCGCTACGTGCCGGTTGACAACTTCAGATGCGTCTCGAAATTCGAGCTCAGTACTTCGCTCGTACCTGCGACCAAGAAGCAACCGTCTGGGAGTTCATGCATTGTCAACCAGGTTGCTTCACTAACCATCACCTCGACTTAGCCAGCACAGCTGCATCTGGTGCGGCCAGCTTTTTCACGATGCACCACTGTTATGCCTCAGCTTTCACACAAACTCTGCAGGCTGCAGACACTAAATGCTGAACCTTGGGTAACCAACAGCCCACAGCTTTACCCCATCCTTCGGTAGCCATGGCCCCATCAGCAGCCGAGCTGCCGGGAAGTCATCCCTCTGTGCCTGCGCTGTGCGGCGCCGCCTTTGAAGGCTCTGAAGCCGCAGGAACTCAAAACATATACGGTCGAGAAGTGAGACTGCAACTGCCGGCGACTAGATTCACAAAATACTGGAACGGCAGGGGAAGCAGTTGCGATTCTGAAGTGTACTGCTGCCGGCTAGTTGCCTATGGCTGGACTGCGCTTGACTCAGCATAGGTCAGTCCAGGTTTGCGAAGTGCAGTCAGGCGCTGTACAGACAATCGACTGCAACGACTGCAAGCCTGAAAATCGAGTGTTTTCACTCTGCGCTGCTCAGGTAGCAAGTGCTGCCCAGGTGGCTGGCACTGTGTACCGCAAAGGTGGTGACGTCGGCGAGACTTGTGACGGCTTGCTGCCTGGCGATGCCTCACCCTCCCTGCTGATCTTGCGAAAGCTAGGTCCGTCGTCCCCAAGGGCTTTAAAAACTTGAGCAGCAGGCTTTGTGGCTTTGTTTCTCGTGGATGGCCTCCACATCTCAGCTCTATTCCATCGGTTTCACAATGTCCCGTTCTACCAGTACTTCGTAACTACTTCGTAACTGAATGACCATCCGTCACCTGAATTCACGTGCCAGATTCCAAACCTTCATCCGGCTGAAAATGCCTGATATTTGTTCATCAAAGCAGCAACGAGCTAGCGGGTTTGTCGGCCTGGCACGGCGATTCACTCTGCCACCTCTGGTTCGACATCACATGCGATTGGGCCTGTCATCAATCCTGCTTGTTTTGAACAAGCTTGTGGATGTGGCAAAGGAAATCGACCTTCAGACAAATCTCTCGATGCCATCTCTCGCCAGTTCCATGCTGCGAAGTCACTGCGAGTGTGCCATCTTGGAGCCCGACGTAGGTGGACTCGGACCCAGCACGGTCTTCTGCAAGCGAGGCGAGGACGCGGGACCTGAAAGACAAACGCGCCTGTTGCTCCACAGCTCGGCAAAGTCAGCTTGGGTCGGAGCTCGTCTGGTGTGCCAGGAAGCACAACATGGAAGGACTGCCAGGGCAGCCTCACGCCGATTCGACATGTATGTAGTTTGCAAGCCGTTGCCAAGATGTTCGTGCGCAAATGTGTGCAACATTGATCTGTAACACCCATCCTGTTTCCTCAAACACAGATCCGGCCTCCATCTTTCCCTCCTGATTTGCTGCACGCATGACAGCATTCTTTCAGCGTCCTCGCTGAGAGAATCCACATACGCCTGCATGCATCGCTCCGAACAAGCAGCTGTCAAACATGATATGCGACAAAGCAGGCTTCTTAACTGACACACAGAGTGCCTCTGGAGCCGAGAGAATCGTGGCGACGTCTTGCAGCGTTTCTGCTCCAAACCTTGTCAGCATGGTCTGCTGCAACAGCTCTCTGCAAGTTCTACCCTGCGCTGTCTCGTCTAGATGCTTGCTGAGCTGCACTTGGTACAGCGTCTCTTGACAAACCTCAGGCCTGACCTTGGAATACCAACGGATGATGGCACACGGCGCAGATGACATGCCGCCAAGAGGAGACATACCAGTTGAGCCGGTCACATAGAGGCGCAAGCTAATGCCATTGTCGATCCTGAGATGCAAGGCACAAAGCCAGAAACATCATGGGGGTATATGGGGAGTCAACAGTAACAGTTCGTTATTTTTGCGGAGCAGCAAGTAGATGCGATCGGTCGCAAGCTTGTCGCCTAGGTAGGGCCGGGGGCCGGGGAGTGAAGCACGAAGCCCCTCTGGGCAGAGGTTCAAAGTCCCAAGCTGGAGCCAGCTATGGTTGGAGGCATAAACACCTGCAGCGGGGACGCACAACATGAATACTAGGATTTGCTCAGAATGCTGTTTGGACATCACAAGCGGAACCTAAGTTGCTGGCATTGTCTCCTATTCCAGTTGGAAGTCCTGCTTTGTCTGGGAGCGGCAGCATGGTATAGACCTCGGAGGTAAAGACATTGATCACCACCGCCGCTTCTGGCACATACGAGGGTCCCAGCTCGCGGATAGACCAGCGGAGCTGTCAAGCCGACGGGAAGGCCCAGGGTCTCAGAAAGCAGCAACACTCGAGCAGCTTCTCTCGGCAGAGGACTCGCAGGCGCAGCCTATTTGTATCTAAGCTCCATACCCTGATCAGCGACACGATCCTGCATTGCAAGGCGCATCTTTGTGAGAAAACACTCCCCCACTGAGCCGAGTTGCCGGTCATCCACCTTGATGTCGGAGCCTGAAGATAGATCACTTTGCACGTTGATACAAACATGCAGCAAGCATTGGGCGAGCATCGCTGCTTCGTGCATGGTGCTTCAGCGAACTGTGCTCGCACACACAACAAAAACATCCTCGCCTGCTCTGAATGCCGGAAACTTGCGGATAGTGCCGATGTATAAAGGCCTCGGCAGGAACCAGACTGCTCAGAGACATTTTTCTTTCACTGATCTGCTGGATTGTGGACTGGGTCCGCAAAGCATGGAGCATGATGCTGATACTTCGTGCAGGATTGGTTTAGAGCAAGAGGAAGTAGTGCCTTCGTCTCAAATGCAGGTGCAGTCATTGGAAAGGGCACTTCTATCCCTTGCAGAGTCGGCGGGCGCTGCACCCCAACTTATCTACGGCAAGAAACTAACTCCCGAGTCGTGCGATAGCATCGAAGTTGGCAGAACAATCGAAAGCCGTGGACAAGACGGATACTAGAAGATCGAACAGAACTTCGTTACTGCTGCCCGTCCGCAAAGCCCTTGTTGCCACACACACACACACACACACACTCTTGCATGCAAAGCGGAGGTTCTGCAACTGCTACTGAACAAGTGCATGGATGTTGCGGATCTCAAATTAAGGCATTTGTGTCGAGGACTGAGCTGGGTCCGGACACACGCTACGAGCAAAGCCACCTGGTTTTTGACGGCCGCGGTGTCGAAGCATTTTGAAAAGCTTGGGTGTTGGAGTATATGTTGTTTGGAGTCCGGATTCATGAGCAGAAGAGAATCGCAAGAGCTTGGCAAACATTTCCACGCAAAAGATCTGAAGCAGCTTGCGTGTCGTCTCCCATCAATCTGGGACTGACGCAGGCTTCAAAGATTCTGCGAATCATTGACATGGAGCATTTGCAGAGTCGAACTTGGATATGTTCATGTGTGTCATACGTAGCATCGAAGCCTTTTTGATCGAGGGCTCGAGAAAAGGACAACCCCTAAACCCTAAACCCTCACACTGTGACTCACACTGACACTCTGCGACACTGCATCTACCACATGTGGTCTCGCGCATGAGGCCATACTGGTCTTTGGCGTCATCTGTGCGGATAGAAGCATGTTGACGTATTTTCCAAAGGGCCACAGCTCGGAAATGTTTACTTGAGGGAGCCAATTCAGCGAGTGTAACTCTATAGTCGTACCTGGACGCCACCTACGCGTGGGAGTGAAATGCCTCCTTGCTGCAGCTGCAGCAGGCTTCGTCCGGAGTCCGTTCTTTGCTGCCGTGTGGGATCAGGTAACCATATCTTCTGTGAGGTTCATGCTCCTGACCCATCCGATCGCAGGTGTGCATGCAAATGCACCCACAGGTGTTTGCTTTGGAAACCTATTCTCGCTGACCCATACCTCCGAGCGGATCCAGTGACCTTGTTGGTTGGAACCGTCTGAGCCGGTCGTACACTTCCAAGGCTCGTGCAGCAGCTTCAGCGACTCTGGCAGAATCAGCTGCCCGGCCTGCTCCGAGATGCTCCGAGCTGGGAACAGCTCAGACTGGCCGCGAAGCGCAGCGAAGCTAGGCCCGCTAGGCGCAGCACCGCAGTCATGGAGGCACAGTTTGCTCGATAGGCGTGCAGCATGTCCTGGCTGTCCGCATACTACCTACATCCCTGATGACACTTCGTGCTACCTGTATGTAGTGCAGCATCCGAACGAGCTAGCTTTTCGATTTTCTCAGGCTGCGGCGACACAGGATTTGGTAAGCTTGTCCTTGAAGCTTCCGTTCCTTGGCCAATCACGGAGCATAGATGAATCAGATGAACATGGAGCAACAAACAACGATTCATCCATAGCTGGGTGCTGCTGAAACTCCCGCTCAGGGCAGAGTCCGCAGCCTGAGGGGAGCTTCTTCACAGCTCTGGTCAATGCGGAAGCCCAGCGCAACATGGGCCCACATGGCCTGCTTTAGGAGCAAATTGGTAACGGCGTCGATTTCCGTGTATCGGAAGACATTGCTCAATGAAGATGTCAGCGGCAGCTGCAACGTGTGGACTCCTGCGAGGTCCCGTTGGGCTAGCGGATTGAGTCCTGCGGCTCCTTCTGCGACAAGTAAGTAAGGATGTGGCGGATTAACCTTTTGCCACGCTTGTCCGTGTAGAGGCAAGCAACCTGATGCACAACAAAAGCGCAAGACGGGGAGAACACCTGGAGCTTTTCGTAGCACTGCAAGCGCAGTGCCTGAACATACGCATTCTTTTGACCTTCGATCCTGGTCATTGTGTTGCGACTAGAACGACAATTTGACGCCAACACTGCACCGAAGATGTCCTCTCACCATGCACAAGGACAAAATCAGCCGTTGCATCAACAGACCTCTCGGTTGGGGACAGTGAACAGCTGCACAACACGAACGGTGTGTATCATCTGAGCCCGTCACATTCTCGAGACGGAGAAAGTGCTGGGATCTATGACCTAAATCTTGAAGTTTCACTTTGATGCACCATCTTTTGCTGTGCTTGATTGCATTTCGGGATGACGGCCTCTGGATCCCAAGTGGAATGGATGCTGTCGACCGCGAGCCCCTTGCTCACGCGCAGCTTGAACATAACACTGAACCTCAAGAAAAGCAGCACACTCTCGACTCTCTGTCAGCAGCCCATCAAAGCACTTGCTCGTGGATCTCAGGCGAGAGCACAGCTTGCTGAACAACTGTCCTGCAACGCGCCAAAAGATTGTGCAGGACATTCTTCAAGCAGAATCGACATGCTGAGCAAGATGGGCAACAGAACCAGTTTTGCACGCCTCCATCAGCACTGTTTGGAGAGTGAGCATGCATAGAAGAGCGACGCATACAACTCAAGGAGACTGGCAAAACACTTTCCAACTGATACCAACTGAATGTTGAGATAGGTTTTACAATAAACCGGAAGTGATGCGTCTGGGAAGTCCAAAGAACGAACGTATCGCGGCTGCTTAGCAACTGCGGATACGGCGCGAGAATACAAACCCGCAAAATGTGGGATTTGCGTATGTCATGCCATAATCTCTCGCCGAGAGAAGTTGCCAAAAGATACTGTTTGCAATGAGATTGAAGGCCGCGAGAGTCAAAGTGCGAGTAGCGTCGGGAACCGTGATTTCAATTGGAATATAGCATCCCTGACTAAAGTTTTCGATGCTGCTCCTCGGTCACATCGGGGGTCGCGCCTGTGCGGTTGAAGAAAAGATCTGTCAGGTTGTCCAACTTAATTTGTATCTGCAGCAACGCTGACTCTGTCGAGTCTCTTTGAAGCTCGTCGACATCGCTGTGTCAAGGGGTCGCTCCTCCTAGATTTGCCAGCGCTTTGGGAGCTCGGAGAAGGGCCATCGGAACGTGCCCATCCGGAGCTGCATCTTCTTGCTCTTCTGCAGCCGCCTCCGAAGCCATCTCGGCCGCAGCCTCCTCTGAAGCCATCTCTTCGTCGTCTGCATTTTCTTGTGACTCTCTTTGCTTGGACGGCGGATGGCGTTCAAGCTTCCGGAGCTTCTCTCATCCGGCCAAAGAATTTGAGCTTCCTTTCTCCGGACTATCACAGTGGATCACGCTGGTGATTGATAACTTGGCGTCAACAACGTGGACTCTCTGGTAAATCAAGTAGAACACCGCCCGATAAGACTCTCAGTCCAAGGGCAGCTGATCTCCCCATGGCTGTGAGGCCGCAGTTCCCTCCCTGCCCACCTCCTAAGCCAGTTTCCCAACTGTGCTGCTTATCAGGAGACGCACATGAAGGCCCCTGAGCCTCGAAGTCTACACTCCAAGCCGAGATCCGCGACATGTCAAGCCCATCGAACCCCCAGTGTCCTCAACACCAATGTCTATAGGTCTTTGGGGCCAACTGCAGAGTAATTCAAAATCATGCGAGGCAACCCAAAACGTTGCAGTGCCTCCGGGTCACCCCGCATCCCGAACGCAAGAGACGACGCTTGGCGGAATCCCTGCCTCGAGAGATCATAGTGAAGCCGTTCTCCATCCCTGCTAGGATCCTGAGGACTTCACACATGTGAAGACTGCACCAAAGCTGACATCGTCACTGGACCACAAACGGCAGAAGGCTGCCAGTAAGCCAGTCGCAAATCCAGGATAGTAGCAGATCTCTCCACCGGTTCTCCTCACCGAATGCCAGTGCAAGCTCCAAGAATTTGTTGTCACTGCCGACTGTAGCCCAGCCTGGGAATTCTGCACAAGGTTGCCATGTCCTGGCAGCTACCGATAATGCGCATATGCCCGTGCTTCGGAACGAACTTCATATGCTCAGGCTTCCGACACAATGCCAAGTGCCAACATTTAATTTACATGCATGCCTTCTGTTCCTGGTCTTGCTGGTTGGGAAGTGCACAGGATGCATCCATCGGTTCGCATGCTAGTGTGCAGGGCAACCTAGCATCTCGTTCAAAGCTGTTGTGTATGTCAGGCATGAGCTCCATGAAACTTGCCAGGCGGACTATGTAAATTCCGGTTGCAGGTGCGCAGAACACGCTCACTGCAACCTTAGCGGGCAGTCATCATGGATGCAGCGGACTTGCTGCTGTCGGTGATAAGCCGCTGAGCATGACATTAAGCAGCTGGCTCCGCGATTGAGGCAGTCAGCACCAATCTCTTCAAAGAACGTCGGCTGCTGCACCTAAAACACTGCGGTCTACGGCCGTCAGTGCGTGTTCAAGTGGGCGGATTCTGATGCAGTAAGCAGCAGGCAGAAAATAGACCGCCACCTTGCACGGGAAAGGGGGCTCCCGCGTTTTGACAGGATCGAAAGCAAAACCGAGCAGGGAAGCCAGAAGTGTTACTTCTGCCCCTTTGCGTGATCTGAGGCTACGTGTGGCGGCCTTCAGGTTCAGAGGCCAGCCTGAGAGCTTCGGCTTGAACTTCCGGGAAGGTGAAACGCTGCACTCTGCAGAAGACTCCATGCTTTTGACAGGCAGCTTGATGTCATCACGGTGTCTCAAAGCTCCGATTCCTGAAGAAAAAACAGTCGCGCTGCAAAGGATCCCAGCAGCTGGAAGCGGGATCTAAGCATCAGGCCGGAGTTTGGCAAGCTCGCATGAAACCTGCCAGCGGAACACTTGTGATTGTCCTAAGTCCTAAGTCCGAACACGATTCCGAGACCGCTGCATGATCACATGGCCTCCGCCTTGTTGCAGAGTCGAGTTCGGTGCCTCTCCTTCTACGGTCTGACAACGCCGTCCCAAAACATGGGACTGGGACGCCCGCCACGAGAGCCCAGCAACTCCGTAGCTGCCTTTAGGGCAGCACAGCCCGCGGCTTGCTCCGCCTTTGAAAGCACCGCGAAATTGATCATTTGAGTGGCGCACACTTGCATCTTAAAACTTGCTGCCAAGCGTCTAAACCCTCGGCACACAACAGTCCAGGAAGCTCGTCCAACAGGGTATCAATCCTCAGATTGAGCTTTGGATAGTGGAGGTCGAGGAAACCGAGACTGCCCCTAATAAGCAGGCAAGCTGCTGGCTGCGATATGCAGGATCCTCAGACAGCGTTGAACTGTTTCGTTCCAGCCGCACTTAGCCGCGTATGTTCGTATGTGCCCTTGCCAGTTCTGGGCCTCGGCATCTACCAACAGCTGCTCTGCACCACAAGGTGCAAAGGGGTCCTGCGCAAGCCGCAAGCGTCCCACTACGATTCGCAAGGAAAGCATCCATCCTCCGTGTCCGACACCGTGATTTGGCGAGCGCAATCCTTAGACGTGCATGTGCTCGACAACCCGTGCACAGCAACAGAGGAAGTCCTAAAGACCCGCACTAGTCCAGGATAGAAGGCAAAGAAGTGCAGCGCATGGTCGAAGAGCAGAATCCCGATCCTCACGGGCTAAATATCCAAAGAGATCCAACGCATAAGTGCCGTTCATCGGAAGAATGCCCAACTGCTCCGCAACTCCCTCTCCAGTCTCTTTATCGCAGGAGGACTAAATGGACCAACTTGCATTACAACCGAGGAAGTCCTGCGTGCAAACCAATGCTAGCAGATCCAGAATTCCGTGCTTGTCGCACTTCTTCCAATGAGATCGTTGTGAGGTTTAGGTCGTTTAGGTGAGGGGAGTGCGGCGGAGAAGGGGACCGTGAAGTACAGACACACTCATGCCGAATTCTTTCTAGCTCCATATGTACTCCCAGCAGTTCGTTGAGCCTCCACCGCGGTCTGGAACAAGCAAAAGTCTGTCCTCGATGATGGCTTCTCCATGAAGCCAAGTAAGGATCGCAGTGTCCACATGACCTTCAAGTCGAGCGGAGAGCTCCGAAAGCGTTGAGCCATGAAAGAAGGGCCAAGGCCTGTGGCAGAAGACCACACTGCAGAGATCTCTGGGTCCTCAGAAAGCTGGAGCTGGCCTTCCCTGCACGAGTTCACGTTTTGCACACTGAGCTACATGCGCTTCAATGACAAAGATGGTGGCAGGAACGACTGGAGCTGTTTCGGAGTAGTCGCTTGGTGCCTCCGACTCCGTGAGGCTCAGTTCGGCCAAGCTGGAGCTGGGGCAACTCGGCTCCAGACGACGTAGTCCACCGTGCCTCGATTCAACTCCGGCCGGCTCGCCTTCGGCTCAGCCAGACGAGTCTTGCAGTGCAAGCTGGCAATGCTCATGCCGCCAATCTTGCTGCCTTGTCGACACGCTGCCCCTTCTCGTCAAGATTGCACATGTATTCCAAAGGGACCTGGTCGCGTAGACAACAAACCCGCAGCTACCTGCACATGCCGCAGAACCTCGACAAGCTTTTACTGCAACGTGCCTCCACTCGCTGACCGCAAAAGTTGCATGTTGCCTGCCACGCTTGGGGCTCTGCAAAAAGACCGTACATGTAGCCGACGTGCAGGCAGCATGCTTGAAGCATGGTCGATCCCCATGAGGACCTCCTTGCCACTGTTGTGCCACAAGAAGAACGGGTTGACATAGGCCTTGCACCTGTTGCACCTGAAAGGGCCTCAGTCAAACAAAAAGCGCTACGGGTTCGCCATGCTCGTGGAGAGTTTTGTAACGTGCAGTAAGCTCCCAACCTGACTCCCCCAGGTCAACACACGGAATGTCAGCCTCGCCATCGCTTGCACAAGTGTTTCATGGACCCACGCTAATAACCCTCCACCCGGTCCCCTGTCCCCGCGGCTTGTGTTTGACAGTAGGCTCTGTTGAAGTAACACTGATGTGTTATGAGGATTTGAAACACTGTTGGCATGCTTGATTCGTTGCTCCTCGCTCAGATATCAAGATCCGAAATCGACAACCGTCGCGAGGATTCCGGACCCAGCCAGTTATTGACGGCAGTTGACGGCATTGACGTGGCATGCTATTAAGGCGACTGTGGCGCAAATTTCCTCCAGACCCTGCCGGGGCGGGGGAGGCACACCCGGGGGCCCGGGCGCAGGCATCGAATCCAAGAATACAGAGCGGTCAACTCCGGAGCTAATTACCCGGCATCGGGCCGTCTTGGAACCATTTAAGCCCCGCACAATTAACTTATGATTTCATTGGCCCTTGAAGGTTGCGCGACGCTCTACTCCGTGCCGAGGCTGCTGCCCAACCGGCACCGTCAAATCAGGATTTAACTGCTTCTCCTAAAGCACCCCCCCAAGCCGGACCACAACTAAATTTGATGGTCCTTAGACTGGACTAGTAGACGAGGCGAGGCCAGACGAGACTGGACTGAGTAGTTGCAGGATCCAAACTGAGGCTTGCTCTATCTCGACCTGAATCAAAGAAGATACCCACGAAATGGTCGGACATTGCTACCAAGAGTCCCAATTAAACTCTCACTGTAATCTAACTGTTGCCTTGAAAGTCCTCAACCTGAAATTCAATTAGTCGTAAGTAAGTAGCACAGCAGTTCAACAATCAACATAATCTTTCATTTCAGCTGATGCTTATTCTAGTTCGACAGTGAACTGAAGAATATCCGCAAAAAATGATTGGAGCTTGCTATCCACAAGTCCAGTCACATCATGTTTCGCCAAACCAGCCAAGTCAATCATGATTTACTGACGTATCGTGGTAGCAACTTTCACAGGTCTCTAAGGAGTTCTGCTAATATGCAGCGAGACAATTAAATCTATTGCATAAACGCATAGACAAGCAATCAAAAAACCCATCTAATTCTGTAAGTGGAATGTCCACGGATCAACACCGAAACATGAAATCGACATTTGCTTTTCTTTAGCTTCTGGATTGATTGATTTTCGGACACTGACGCGGCGACGCGGCACCAGATATCTGCGGGGAAGCCTCGAAAGCCGTCAGCTCTGCGAAGGGTTGGCAGACGACCTCAGCTCTTGTGTTGTGAGGTTTGCCAACACGAAGAGAGCCCGAGAGCGAGAAATGGGGTCAGAACTGCCATGGGGATATGCGCCGTGTTTGCAGTTGACGGATAGGCTGGCACCTGGCCAAGATGCCAGGTCACTCGACTAACAGCCTGCAGCACAAGGCAAGGCATGCGACCAGCCTGGCCTGGTTGACAGTGGAGCGGATGAACTCGCAAGAGCTTGAACCACAGTCAACCACGGTGCAAACCTCAGCTTGGATCGCCGCTGATACGAACATCAAGCGCCCATCATCCGCAGTTGTCACAGAGGTTGGATGGACTGTTCTCCAAATCGGGTCCCACACGGCTGTAGCTGCCGGAGGCACGTGATATTTGGTGGTCTCATACACCTGGCATTATCATGGACGCGAGACTTTAAATCACCTTGCGAGACTCTCTGCATCTGTCTGCCTTGCCACCCTCCTGCTTGACAGCTTCTGGCTGACCAACCGGTCGCGGAACCTGGGAGATTGGAAGGGAAGATTTTCTCCAAGCTTGCACTCCTTGAGGCTGCTCACAGCTCGCCTGCTCGGGATCTATTCTTGAATTCGACTTTTTGGTCTCCGTCCTTCCCGAGTCGGTGCTCCGGTACTACATGTTCCGTCGCGAAGTTGGGGCTCCTTCGCCGAGAGTTCGGTGAAGCTGCAGGTCCACCGAATTTTCTCGGAGTTCCTGGCTGCAGGCAGGCTTCTGCAAGCCTCCAGCGCCCTTACCTGTTGTGGGACTAAGGGCGAGGCCTGAAATGGATCTAGGGACGCCATGCTTCATGGGCGACGCATCCAGGGTGATGGCAGAGTTGGCCCTGCGCAAAACTACTGCCAAGATGAAAATCTTCAAGTCGGAAGATCGGGAAGCACCTCTTCAGCTGACCTCCGGGCCTTACGAAGAAAAAGCTTCTGTCGTGCAAAACTTCTGGAAGGAAGCTCAGCTGCAAACGTGTACGCTCCCGGGGTGTAGCCGGTTGGCGTGAATGCTACTGGGGTGTAGCCACCTTGCCGGCGAATTATCAGTTCCAGCGCTCTACGTGCTCAGCCGAGCTCGCTACCTGGTGTCTTCGATCCAGGGGTCTCGCCACCTGATCTGTCGAGGCAACTAGGCAACTGCGCACCTGAACTCGCGGACGCGCGGGGACCCCTCAGGGGCAAATTTGCAAGTTTCCAGCCGTAAGGCTTCTTTCCATGATTGTGGCACTCCAGTGCTGAGCTTTGCGCCATACATTGCGAAAGAAGCGCCACCTCACAGGCGGGGCTTCAGCACAGGTCTGCTCTTCGCCTCGTTTAGAGCAGAACTGGGCCACGCATGCAAGCCGGGAACAGCGCTTTGCGGCGGTGACATTGCGAAAGGAGAGCCGTTCAGCCTGAGCTCGGCGAAGCTCAAGGACCATGCGCACGGTTTGTATGGTCTGATGGAGCTCTGGCGAGTTAGCCGCAGGTGGAGGAGCTGGTCCTGATGCCTGCGCGGAAAGGCTCTCTGGGTTGCACCGGATCAGAGGGACGGCTCTGACACTTCAGGGAAAGCACGCTAACCTCTTGTCCAAAGCTGCTGCATGACAGATTCCGCTCTGCATGTAATTTACAGTTCGACTCGACAGATCAACTTGATGCAAACAGTGGCTGCTCTGGTCCCACGAGTTTCTCGTCGTCAGTGGCGCCTGCACTGCACCCGGCTTGAAAGCCGGGTAGAAACTGACAGGGCCTTGCCATCCACAGAACTTCATAGAAGTCACAAGTCTGGCAGAAATCATAAACTCAGAATCACCAGCATCATTCACAGGAAAGAACTGAGAAGCCGTCTTCCCGAGAGGCGACTGGTTGGGGAGCCCTCTGGAGGTGTTGCACCGCCCTGCAGAACAGCTCTGCACAACACAAGAGAGGGGAACTCCCATTGAAATTCCAAAGGCTAGATAGGCTCAGGCGGACCTCCTTGAAGAACTTAATCTTTGACATTGTGTTGTCATTGATGTGATCTGGCCTGCAAGACATGCCACAGAACTCTGCCCGTCTGGAGGGGATTTTCAGGCTTCGGCCGCGAGTTACTCACGGAAGATGTACGTGAAGCCTCAATGCCAAACAAGGCCACATGCCAGACAGAACTTGCCATCAATTTGTGGAATTGATGAGTTCGGTTCGTCAGGCGCCGCCGGAGACGGCTCCGTTCTTGCATTGCTGATCGCCGGGCCTCAACGAAGCCGAAGTTTCTACTGGGCTCTGTGTGTGACTGTTCTGGGCCGAGCACTCGCCGATGCAAGGGGGGAGGAGTTGGCAATGAGCACCTGACATAATATGTTGTTGGATTGCTGCGCTACCAGACTAGTTCCACTTACTTCGCCACAAATACCCGGTTCTGGGCCACTTGCTGGATCAAAGCAGGCTGGCTGCATGTTGCGAGGGGCATTGCCAAAGCCCTATTGGGCTTGCTATCCCGTGCTATTCGTTTGAGTCACCCTGGATTGCACCGTAGAAGTCTGTGCATCTTAAAGACTCTCAGCATTTTCCATGTTAAGCCAAGGCTCCCGAGAGTTTTAAGAAGTCATGCGCCAAGCATATGTGATCATACTTGAGAGCTTTCTTGGAGCCTTGCTTGAGGCTTGCAGCTGCAGGTAAGTTCGCACACGGCATTTACGACAGTTGTGAGCAGCTGCGGCTTTCAAGGCAAATCGGGGGCACTCGTTCTCGGCCGAGATAGCCTCTGCTCTGGCCATCGTGCTCAGGACGAACCTGACATTTCCCGACACTCTGCCGGCAACCTCATTTTCGAATGCTGCGGAACTGCTAGCGATATCTCGCAATGGTCTCCTTGAGTACCAGTAAATTCCTATTCTGGGCAGCATGGTGCTGAGGTGCCTCTCGATGCCCTTCATGTTGCCCCGGGTGGCCGGATTCCTAGGGGGAAAGCGAAAGCCAAAGAGAGAGAGAGAGGAACCGCGACAGACCCAAGCCAGAACGAGACGCAAAGAGAGTGAGAGAGTGACTGACACGGTGGCAAGGTCTCATGGGCCAGTTAAGGGCCATGACTTCGAGAAGTCGGTGTCGCCCATATCCACGCTGAGCTCCCACTTCAGAGCCGTGGTCTGAAACCAGCCTGGCCCACAGGCTCATGGACTTTGCTCACTAAGAACCATGGGGCGTGGGGGAGGGGTACTGTGATTCCAGCGGGCGATGCGGCTCTTGCGTGTCTGAAGTATTCTGAAATTGGGTATGCCTGGAATGAGCTCTGTCTTGACAGAACTAAAATGCGTGGAACATGTGGGATTGAGTTTAGTGTTTGTGGCATAAGTAAGTTTCGGGTTCAGCTGCGACTCTGGCGGCTCGTAGGCTCACCAAATTAAAATGGTTTGGAGCTTTGGTTTCGGGTTAAGCTCTGACTGTGGGTCTCGGGGAGTTGTTTTGGGCTCCGCGTTTCGGTTTCCGGGGAGTGCTGATCCTGCCTTTTGTAGTTCACTGCTGTTGGTATGAGCTGTTCTTGGTGGTGCTGCATGCTGACATCATGCTTGTGGGTCAGTTTGGGTCAGATAAGGTGTTGCCCGTAAAGATCTTTGTTAAGGGGTTGCAAAGCTTTAGGCTTCAACAGCTTGAGGCTGTAGGGGTAACGGCCAGCGGCAGCCAGGCAAGGTAAAATGAAAGCGAGTAGCACTGTACCACTCTCCGCTACTCTGGTGGTGCTCGGAGCCGCAACCTCGTACAGTACCAATCATACGAGCAAATCAGCTGAACATAGCACAACAGTAACCTAAGTGGCATGGACAGCAAAAGCACTTGCTCAATATAGTTATGAACAACAGAAGACTAGTGCGGAATTTGCCATTGATCTGAATGACCAAAACATGTCTGGCATCACGAGAGCCAGTGCATTGTACACAAATGCCTTGCCATGTGCTGGGCGAAGGTACAAGCAATCTGCAAAGCTTTAGCTGGAGCTGAGTGCCAGCGGTGATCACCGCGTTGCTGCGTCATGTACGCTGTCCTTCCTTGTTCGGAGTCCTCAGCTCTCGCAGCCACGAGCAGAGACGGAAATGCCCCGCGACTTGACTGCCAAACGCATTCGAACCCGACGAGGCTGTCCTCGTGGCCCACTCTCTTCGAGAAGACCTGGCAACAGAATGCGTCAACATCTCATTGGAGACAATGCGGCCGATGCGGCCTGCTTGCAGCATTGCATCACTGTCAGCAGCATGCTGTTCGCACAGATTTCTAGTGCTTTTTCGGGTCGTTAATACTAGCTTCCGATGGTCACAATGAGCACGGACCCACTGCAGCCCAACTGAATCTGCCTCTGTAGCCGTAAATAATAAAGTGCTCTACTATCCTACGTTTACTGGACTCGAAGTGAGGTTTACCGGACCCATGTGCCGAAGCGTGCTCACCTCTGGTGAGGCCACGGATAGGCTAGTGCTAGTTGGCTCGTTAACAGCCTTGCCCTGTTGGCAAGAGTCGCATGGCGGGGGGGAAGTCCTGAACCCATGGGCCAGGCAGCACTCCCGTCGCGTCGCCATGCACTTCCTCAGCTCGTTTTCCAAGTCTTGGATTTGGGATTCGTAGAGGCCACTCTGCTGACGGGTGACGTGTCATGCATCTAGGATCTCAAATCATCTCAATGAAACCTGCAGATTCCAGAAACCTCTGGGTTCGTCCAAACTCATCCAGACAGCGACTGTGAACTGAGAGCTTGCGAGGCCTCTTGACAGTATGGACTCCGCAGGCTTCTGCGCAGAAAAGCTCTCCTGAAGCAGGCATGAACTCAGCACTGTCTCACACAAAAATGCTTTTTTCAACATTGAACTGCAAAGCAACAGCCTCGGCCACGGCGAGCTTGCTGTCGGACGCGTCTTGTCCTGACAGTGACAAGTACGGTTGACACAAGCACCCCTAACAGCCAGTCAGCACTTCTGTAAACCTTCACTGAGGCCTTCAGTTGCGTCTGCACCCTGAGGAGCTTGAGCCTGCAACGATCCGCTGCAGGCTGGTTCACATGTGAGAGAGGAGCAGTACAGCGTCGCTTGACGATTGGGCTGCTGTGCCACCTCATGAGCATTCATACGTTCCGAGAACGTCCTTGGAGGAAACCAGGAAGGCAGATTCAGGCAGACATCACAGACGTCGAGCATGAACTGTGATGCAAAGCACCGTGTCAACCTGCTCTAGCCATGTGTCCGCTCGCGAGGCGTTCCAGAGCCCTTGGTTGCAAGCACGAGAATTTGCAGGAAGTTCTTCTCACGACATTGAATACGACCTCCCCCATGCGAGCTGCAGTCACAAGTAGTGCTATGCACCGGGACAGGGAAGCCAACTCTCACCCATGATCATGACCATGCTGAACTGCATCCAGTTTCAGAGTCTGTGTGGAGGCGGGTGAACGCCTCGCTGTTCCGAAGCCTTTCGCTTTCTCGAAAATGAAACTCCGAGTCCTCCTCGGAAGAGCCTGACTAGACAGAATCTCAGACACAGAGAGAAGGATCTGGCTCAAGCGGCCGAGGTGCTGCGGATCAGCCGCTTTCGAATGGAGAAAGTCAAATTCGCGTCTTTGCTTTGTACGAAGGCCGGTGTCCTAGGATCAGGCGTCGAACTGCAATAGTCCTTTTTGCGCCTGTTGTTCTGAGTGCATCTCTGCCTGTTCTATCTCTCTGAGTCTCTGTTTCCTTTCCGTCACTGCAGCTCGCACACCGCTACTATGCCGCGCTAACATCGCCACGTCTCGGCTTGTGCAAGGCAAAGGTGGGCGCTTTCTGGGTGGCAGAGTTTAACAGCGAAAGCAAACTCCTGCAGATGCACTGGGCTGGTGCAAAGTGCTCGCAGCCCCAGACAGATCAAACACGCGATGTTTTCCGGCAAAGCTGACACGTTATCTCCTGTTGTAGTCTTTCATCATCGCCTGGTGATGCAACAGACAGGATGCACGCCTCTCAATGCAACTACAGCGAAGACATGCATCCAGGCAGCCTTTATGGGGAGGTCGTTGGCATCGGCCCCAAACGGCTGATCGATCTCCATAGCTATGTGCATCAGCGTCCAGAAAGATCCTATCGAGAGCAGCAAAGATTGCTTGTCTGTTGAACACACATTGCAGCCATTACTGCGGGAATTGTTTTGTCGGCCTGTGACTAGGAAAGACATAACTGCCGCCCACCACCACGACCTGCACAGCTTTACTGTCATCTGCAGTCTCTTGCACGGTACTGAAACCACAAGCTCTCGTCTAGTTGCATCGTAAGGGCTCTATCACCAGGCTCGCCAGCATGGGCGTCACCAACCAGTGAACAACTAGCCTGAGCAGGCTCGCGCAGGCTCGGGCGGATGATGAGGAGACAAAACTTCCCATGCTAAGGCAAGCAACATGCACACCAACATTTGCGCGTAAGGAAAAGGAAACGGAATGTCCTCTCAAAGCTTGTCCACACACGCACAAGCACACACCTCAGGAAGGCAGTTCTGGACAGTACATCGCCCACTTAACTCCTTTATCTTTCGAGCATTGTTCAGTGTGACGATGCCGCGTGAGAGCTCCTGCAGATCAGCTTGATGCGATGCCGCAGTATGTACCCTGGTGATCATAAGACATCTCCTGGAAAGCTCGAGATAAAATAGGCGGGGGAACGTCCACCACACCTGACTGCTCAGTGGTCAGGTCTTTGCAAAACCCCAGCGCCGAAGCAACACCTGCTGTGGTCTCTGCCTGCGTCGTGAGATTCGATGATGAGCTGTTGAACCCACTGCAGCAGCACCTGCATCACCAGGTGCTTTAAGCACGTGTCGCAACCTCCTCCAAGTAGGCGCACCTCGCACTGGTCATTGGCAGCCTCGAGGAACTCGAGATGCCCAGGAGCAATGCCTTCCTCAGGAAAGCGCATTCTGCCGAAGGCAAAACACAATCAAAAGAGTGACATGCTTTTTGTTAGCTGGCTTATGCTGGCTTTCTGGGACACAGACTGTATCTAGGATTTGCAGGGAGTCGTCTGCATCGGTGTCGCACACCTCGCAAAGCACGCGCTCAAGCCTCTCCCTGCAAAGCTTCTTCAGCCTGGTCCTGCCTGCTGAAGGGCCGCACAATACATCATGCTAGCAAGGCGTATAAGAAGTTGCCGGAATGCATAGACCTCAGATGCAGCAGATGCAAGGACACTTCAGGCGCGAGGTTCGAATCGCTGCCATGCATTGCGCACCTGCTCGGCCTTCTCGGGTTTCCGGGATGTGAAGGCAAACAGCGATGAGACGGCATTGAACCTGCAGCACAATGTCTCTCGAACGTGGGAGAACCAAACGAATGCATATTCTAGGCCTAATCATCACCAGAAAGACTCGGGTGGTTTTGGGGCGGGTGTCTGAGCTCACGGCCACTCGCCACGCACTTGGCTGATCAATGTTGCTCCCTCCCAGAAGCGGGAATAAGCCTCCAGGCTTTGCACTGCTACTTGCCATGGATGCACGGAAAGTAACCACCTGGTTGTTCCGGAAAACCACCAGAAAGCCAAGGACGAAAGTGTAGCCAGACCATATGACGTCCACACCTTGCAATCAAGGCAGGCAGAACAGAAGTCAGAAGACAATCCGGCAAACTGGTAGTGCTGTTGCATCGGATTTTGTATGAAGCAGTTCATCATCTTTGAAGAACCACAGCAAGGTGATTTTCATGCTATAGTGCGAGGACACTGCAGCCGGCAAACTGCTGCTGGACAAAGTCTGGGATGTCTACGCGCAAAACACTTCCCAAGAAATGCCTCCACCCCGGACACAACAATGAACCTCGAGACAAGTGGAGTCTTAAAACAACTTTCCGAATGTTGTGGATCGCTCCCTTGGATGCGCAGTCACAGTGATACTGGAGTGAGTTAAATCGTGACGCCGGCCAGTAGCCCGCTCCGATTAGCGCAGCACTTTGAATTGCAATCCTACTGCTGGCGAAAATGCTGGGTGGAACACCCAAAGGCTCCCAAAGACTAACATCTAGAAATATCACTACCTGCAGTCTGACTGACGCCACCATTGTTGGCACCAGGGGTGCCTTTTTCGGATCTCGAAAGTTTCAACTTGTGTGAGTGCGTTTTTGCCCCTGCTGGCCTGTCATGTTCTGAATGGCATCTGGCACACCATCTCCATCTGCATCCGGTGTATACCTGTACCACCAAAAACTTGCTTCTTCAGTGCTTACAGCATGCTGCACGTTCTCTGCATGTCCCCCTTCCACCCCCGACACGGTCCTCCGCAGCAGCCAGTGCAGCAGGGCAGCGATGATGGCGTTTGGAAGCGCCCAACATAATCCTTTTGGAAAAACGGAACCTCAGCAGGATGTCGAACCCCTTTCTAAGGAGGAATACATGTGACCTCCAGCAGTTGCTGCATTTCCCTGAGGTACTCGGTAACGAGCCATGAACCCTGAGGATCATAAGAAGAGTCCTGAGTATCAATGCTGGGCATCAAACCCGTGACACATGTTTTCGCAGCAGCCAGAGCAATGCAACGGTGAAAAAATGCAGCTTAGTTGCCATTGTCTCGCATCGTAGACAATCATCTTTCCTGGGTCCTCCGCTTTCATTTTTGTTTTGCAGTGCACCGGTGAGTCAGGAAGATATTAGAGCTTTCCGGATGGTCCTTTGTCCCAGCGCCAGCGCCGTTTTGGCAAGGAAAAAATTGGGCCAATGCTCACGGATCGGAACTTCGATCACCAAGTGACGACACATCGAACACACACACACACACACACACACACGTGTGTGTGTGCATACAAACATACACACACACACACACGCACTTGTTTATTTACTTGCCCTTGTAGTTAGTTGTACATCTATAATTAGAGTATATGTCGTATGTATATATATATATACACATACACTACATGTATGTGTATGCACAGAAAAAGAGGCTGTGGAGCATGCGTTTTTGCAACTCACTATGTTCAATGGTCTTGTATGTTTCGAGTGGTTGTGCGTGTGTGTGTGGCTGTGGGTTTCTGTGTCAGTTGGTCGCTCGTTTGGTGCATGTGGCTGCACGTTTTCGTTTCCAACTACAACATCAACTCTGAGTTGTTACAAACCACGAGGTCTGTTTATAAACGCAGGTTTGTTTATAAACACCGCGTTTCGGTATACCGTGCTTGCAACGCTTTGAGTTTGTCGGATGTGTTCATTGTCATGTGCCTCGTTTTCTTACATGTTTTGTAATGAAGTAGATGGTTATCTCTCATCTGATACGTGCTCGTTGTCTGAATGTTCGTATTCATGGTATTATGTCGGAGGGAGGGGGGAGGGGGGAGGGGGGGGGCAGGAGTGTTGGGTTGGTGTTGGAAGACCCCCGCCCCCTCCCCCAACGCCCACCAGCACCAACGCTGCGCGCACCACCCACGCCAAGCAACACGTTGACAAACCTCGCCGTGCTGCAAATTTTGCATATAGACACACTGATACGTCGGATTTTCTCCATGTGTCGGCTTGTGTGGTTTAGACCAAGACCTTGCTTGACTGAGAAACTAGAATTTACGGAATTTCTGCTCATGGGAAAATGATAATGCTATGGTTCGCTGTTTATAAACACCTGGCATTGTTTATAAACAGGTACGTTGTCCATAAAGACATGCGTTGTTTATGTGGGACATGGTGCATATGTGCGTACGCCTGTCGTCCCGTTTAAACACAAGTGCTGTTGCTACATAGTTTAACATTCCAGTCCTCGCCACCATTATAACCATAGTACAGGACCAGAGGGATATGAAGTGATTGTATATCAAACCAAATAAAGATACTTGGAGATGGAAGCATTCGCCGCAATTAAAACCATAGCAGAGGACCAGAAGGATATGAAGGGATTGTATATCAAACCAAAAAGGCGTCTGATACGGATACTTGTGGGGATGGAGGCCATGCATGCCAGGGCCTGGACCACAAAGATTGGTGGAGTTTTATCATTCCCCTGACGAAGCTGCGGCTTCAGCTGCAACTGGTATTTTGGATTGTAGACTGTGGGTAATAACCGAAGCTATAGGGCTTATCGCAGCTAGGGGACAAAAACATGCACACAAGCAGGATCTGAAGCAGCTCCGACAAGTAGTAAATTTCACCAGTAGTAAACTTCTTAACGATGGCCAACTTCTTATTCCTTGACTCCTTTGACAGTCACATGCGAATACATATATTCAACTCACTCATATTTGGTGACATGCAGCAACGAAGCACCAGTGTAAACGCCTGTTTAGAATCTTACGCACTTTGCAAAAATAAATAAGCCAACTCAGTACGTAAATGTTCTCAACATTGCATGCCAAAGCAGATGATGCTTTGAATTCCAGTCTTGGGTGGATTGGCTTGATAAGATGCAAAGTCTTGAAAGGATAAGATATATGTACCCCGAGACTTGGTTTGAGAAAGTAAAGAATACACGGTATTTACGGTGATTCCGTTGTTGTGGGAAGAAGATTAAATACATAGCCAATCGATACCGCAGCGTCGTACCCGTTGACGTCTGACTCTGCACAGGCTAAACTTGACCGTGAAAATATTACTCAGGAATAGAAGTGAACGCTACTTTGTGGTGTAATGCTGCGGGCACCTCATAACTATTTGAAGATGTTGGAATAAAAATACGATACAAAAAGGATCTGCAAAAACCCAGGCGCCAACCAACCTATCTTGTAACAAAACGTGGGCCCTCACAACAGTTCCCTCCCTAAACATATCCCTAATCCTTTGAAAAATGGGTTTTCAAAAACCCAGGCCCCACAGCAACCTGCTCTTTCTATATCCATATGTATATGTATATGTATACTCATCTGTATCTTATATAAATATGTATATTATATGTATACGCATTTGTATCTATATCTTACAGTTAAGTTATACTTATATCTATTCCCAACCCGCGGTGTGGGGTTGTTAGCCTTTAAAGTCAGCTATTACTCCCGCCCGCTCCTCGTCCGCTCCACCCGCTGAAACCATCTCCAGAGACTGCCTGGAGTGCCGGCCACCCCCAAAGACTACCGTGAGACTCCCTGGAGTGCCCGACCCCACAGACTGCCTGGGTGCCTCAAAGACTACCGTGAGATTGTCTGGAGTACCCAACGCCAGAAACTACCGTGAGACTCCCTGGAGGGACCTACGACCGGAACGCCACTCA